CTAGAGGCAGTTACAGATTTTACTTTCTTGGGCTGCATGATCATTGCAGATGGTGGCAGCAGCCACAAAATTAAAAAATGCCTGCTTCTTGGGAGGAAAGCGATGGCAAACCTAGACAGCATCTTAAAAAGCAGAGACCCCAGGAAGATAGAAAGGGAAGATCTAGAGGCAGTTACAGATTTTAATTTCTTGGGCTGCATGATCATTGCAGATGGTGGCAGCAGCCACAAAATTAAAAAATGCCTGCTTCTTGGGAGGAAAGCGATGGCAAACCTAGACAGCATCTTAAAAAGCAGAGACACCACCTTGCTGACAAAGGTCCACATAGTCAAAGCTATGGTTTTTCCAGTAGTGATGTATGGAAGTGACAGCTGGACCACAAAGAAGGCTGACTGCCGAAGAATTGATGCTTTTGAATTGTGGTGCTGGAGGAGACTCTTGAGAGTCCCCTGGACTGCAAGGAGAACAAACCTATCAATTCTAAAGGAAATCAAGCCTGAGTGCTCACTGGAAGGACAGATCCTGAAGCTGAGGCTCCAATGCTTTGGCCATCTCATGAGAAGACTCCCTAGAAAAGATCCTGATGTTGGGAAAGGGAGAAGGCAAGAGAAGGGGACGACAGAGGATGAGATGGTTGGGCAGTGTCATGGAAGCTACCAACATGAATTTGACACAACTCCAGGAGGCAGTGGAAGACAGGAGGGTCTGGCGTGTTCTGGTCCATGGGGTCACGAAGAGTTGGACACGACTTAACGACTAAACAACAACAACAATCTGCTTTTGAGTTTATTTAGGTAACCAGTGATTTTTATCTCTCTCTTTGATTTAAAACGCTCCTAGAAAATAAGGCATTCCCTACCCACAGGCTTATATAATCTATAAGACAAATTGCCAAATGGAGAAAACAATGGGAAGGGAAGAAGAAAGGAAGAACAAACTCCGGCACTAGTTGTTGGAGTTAACTTGTAGCCTTTCAGTCCATGAATAATTTGCTATTTCAGTTAGGTTTCCTCACATATTTTGTGTTAGGCATGTATATGCACTTGACTCGTGAGCTGTTACAACAATTACTTTGTGTGTGTGAGAGAGAGAGTAAATTTGTTATACGAAGTTGATCTTTAGAAAGCAGACAAACTAAAAAGAGGCATCTTCAAATGGATTTTGTTTCTACTCTTTAAATACTGGCAATACTCTCTCACAAAATGGTATCTCTCTGTCCTTCTCTTTCTAGGATAAGCCTGATATCGCATGTGGTGCCTTCAGGCTTTGCAGCAGTCATCGTGAAACCATTGAAGGAGCCCTGAAATTTAAAAGGCCATTAACGTCAGAGGAAACACCTAAAATGACAGACTTCGCTGAAGTGTTGGCTCCCTTCCTAGTAAATGTGCCTCTTCTCCTCTACCCTCAAGATGAAGGCTATTATGAATCTCAGGTGAGGAAACCGCTGGGGGTGGATTTGACTGGAAGTGAGAAAACAAGATGCCAACCTAGCCTCTTCCAACTCTGACGCTGAACTTAACCCACATTGAACAGGGCAGATATGCAGAAGAGACACAGAAACATGGATGCTTTAACTACCTTATGCAACGATCATCTTTAACTACCTTATGCAATGAAAAAGCATTATGGGAGTTGCAGCCAAACAATATCCAGAAGGCCATACAGTTCTTGTTGCTGGATTAAACCAGAGTTGGCCTTTGAGTAACTTTGGCTCTGTCAAGGCTCAATTCTGCAGTACTGGGAGGGTGGGGAGTTCTCCAATTTTGGAAGTATCTCATATACCTAAATGTTTTATGTTGTTGGTACAACCTAAAGCTTGGAAAACTTACTTTTTTCTTGAATCACAATTCTTTCCCATTTTTATATCCAACCCAGTCTTCAGAATCTCGACAGTGTCAGCTTTCATTTACAGGGTCACAAGTTCTAGGCCAGTAAAGGAAAGTTTCAAGCTCCTAGTGTCCAACTCCATATGCAAAAATGGCAGCACACACCAGGATCCTTTATTTGGGCGTGGAGAATCTAGTGTTCTAAACATGGGGCAGATGCATTAACCCTTTGTTCTCCCCCATTTTTTTTTCTGGTAGAAGGAAGAAAACTCTTGTCAACAGTGTAAGGAGGTGGTTGCTGAGATGAAGGAGGATATACAGAGCAGCCCCTTCTTTGTCCAGTCCTTACAGGTATATGCCAAACAGCACTGTGAACTTCTGGACTCAGACTTGGTTGATGAGGTAACTATCTTATTTCATATGAGCAAGATCTCATTGGGACACGACAGATACAATGTTTGGTGACTGTTATCACCTTCTTCATCTGAAGACCTCGGGTATATTCTTAGAACTGCTGAGATGGAAGGGACCCTGTGGATCATCGAGGCCAGCCCCTGTCAAGGGGGCACAGGGGGGAATTGAACTCCCAACCTCTGGTCCTGCAGTCAAATACATAAACCACTGAGCCTATCCAACAACTGACAGTACCAGAGGGATGGTGGTGTACTTTGGTAGAGGAGTGCCCCTTTTCTGCAACATTATGACTTCTTCTGAAGCACTGTTTTCATGGTTTAGCCAGGTTGGGTGGGGCTGATGGGAATTAGAATGTAACAGCATTTGGAAGACCACAGGTTCCACAACCCTGATTCAGATATATGTTTTTAAACTGCATAGTCGTATGTATGTATGTATGTATGTATGTGCGCGTGCGTGCGTGCGTATGTATATGTATATGTATATGTATATGTGTGTGTGTGTGTGTGTGTGTGTGTGTGTGTGTATACTGTATATATGTATATCCTCCCCTGTGCCATTGCTTCCTAAAAAGACAAAGCCACACAATGATATATCTCAAATGCTGTCTGCAACTATCACACAGTAGTTGGACAGATGTTGTATCTTCTTCTGCCACTACCTTTTGGACCCTTTTGGTGTAGAGCAGCAGTGGGCAACTTGGGATCCTCCAGATAGTATTAGACTTCATTTCCCACCATTCTTCACCTGTTGTGGTGGTGGCTAAGTAAGGCTGGTGCAAGTTGCCATCCAACAACATATGGAAGTTCTCAAGCTGCCCACACCTGCTGTTTCACCAGCAGAATTCCCATATACATAATTGTGCTGTCCATGTCAGACTGCTTAGGAGGTTATGCACCTATGTCTTTTAGATTATCCCTCCCCAGCCTGATGCTCCCAGGTGTGTTGGATTAAAAGTCCCAGAATTTTATGTGATTACTCTTAAATTTTAAACAAGAACACTGCTATCTCTACATCTCTTTTCTCTGTGCTTGTTATAGTACCAGATTTCCTTTTTATTGCTGAATATAATAGTTAAAAATGCTAGGCAGTATTTATGGAGATCATAAATTCTAAAATGACTATAAGTATTGCAAAGAACCTCTAGGGATTAAATTACTAACACTCTAAAAATGGACACACTAAGGTATCCTGTCTTCATGCTCACAGGTTAGGCTCCTTCATACTTTAAAAAAAAGTCTGCAACAAGCAATACCAAACACAGTGGGTGTGGCTTCTTGAGTTCTCTGTCTGCAATCTGAATGGAGTTTTCCAAAGTGTGAATGAATAAGCTGGTGATGGTCGTGAATTGACCTGTTAGTAATGGTTTGGACTGTTTTGTTCCCGTAGTGCAAGAAGTATGTCTTTGAATATTCCCATGCGTTTGTGCAGTTGATGGCAGACCTATTGGTAAGCAGACCACAGGGGTGAACCTCTTGCCCTTTCCTAGCACAGTCGTATGGTCATTTCAGTGTTAATTGCATGATAAGAAAGAAGCATTGTAATATGCTACAAGACTGAATTAGATAGTCTAGGCTTTAAGTTATTATTTGTAAAAGGTGTCATTAATGTAGCAATACAAGTATAAGAAGGGTTGGATGCCTGGGGCTGGATAAGAGAAGTGTATAATATTTTATTTCTCCTCTAGATGTGGGGTGAAGAAGCAAGATTGAGAATATTTCAGATAATCTCTTGCATAGCCCTTGATTTTATGTTTACAGTGGGGTCTCGACTTACGAACGGCTCAACATACGAACGTTTCGACTTACGAACTGCTCTCGACTTGCAAACTTAGATTCGAGTTATGAACTCTTTTTTCCCTTTTTTTTAAAGCTAAGTCATCTTAGGTTAAAAGGAAAAAAATATCCCCCTTTAGTGGCAGAAGGCGGAATAGCAGCTTCCCATTAGTTTCTATGGACGAAAAGAGCAGATACGGATTAAATGGTTTTCAATGCATTCCTATGGGAAATGAAGATTCGACTTATGAACTTTTCGACCTGAGAACTGCCTTCCAATACGGATTAAGTTCGTAAGTCGAGACCCACTGTATTCACTAACATTTAACTACCTAGGAGAAAGAAATGACGGCTTCTGTCTCTTATCTGGAAGTTAAAATTATCCTCCCCCTGCCACTGTGCACAATTTCAGTTATTAAAGTAAAAAAAAGAATTCCATGTAAGAATCCAGAGTAGCAAAAGCATCAAAGAATTTAAATGAACTCACAATATGATGGGATTTATGGGCAAGTCCTTCTTTCTCAGATGTATCCTGAGTAAAGAAGGAGCTGGCCTGCTGATTCCTGCCCCCCTTTATATGCCACATTTGGCCCGACAGAGTCCAGTTGCTGACCATCAGGCCAACATACATGTGCCATTAGACATTGTTAGTGTAATGCAGAAACCAAATTCAGTGTAATGAAGAGTTGTGCCTTCTAAGGATAATATGTAGTGCCTTGGCCAGTAAGTGTGTGTGTGTGAGCATGTGTAAATCTGACATTGCTAGGAAAAAGTAATAGAGCTAATTCCTCTGGCAGGTGAATTTGGTTATTTATCTAATTCAGTCTATTTAATTTGTTCTTTGTGTTCTTTTCCCATGATCTTAACTCTTGTTTTTGTTTTTTCATAATGGCTTCGTTGCTGATTAACAGGATCAGGTATGTGATAATGTTGCTTTATAGTGCTTTAACTTTTCATTCCTGAACCATGTCTTCCTGAGTACAGTATTTATGAGCTGGGTTGGTTCTGCCTGACTCAAGGGAGCCTAAGGATAGAAGCCTGATTGTATCATTCCTGTTATTTGTAGCTGTTGGAGAGGTGAACCTATAGAAAGACTTCACTGTTGCTTTGTTTCATACTGAGAGACCCACAAGACCTTATCATTATTTCAAAACACAGAATAGTTTAAGCCCATAATAATTATTATTATTTTCAGTGGTTTAGAAATGTTTCTAGCTGATATTGGGGAAACCTGGGAAACCTGGCACTAAACAAACCTTTGAGAATCACCTTTCAGTACTGCGATTCTTCAGAAAATACATTTTAAAGCTTAGGAATTGACATGAGCTTATGTCAGGTGTATGACTGGCAGGCTGTCCTGTAGTTTGTTTGTTTTTTGTAACACATTTTAAAATGTGAAGAAAGGGCATTCGACTCAATGGTACTGACTATGGCAGGTTCTACCTTGCTCACAATTGTCCCCCTCATTTGCTGCTCTCCAAATGGTCATCTGGACCCCAAAGTTTACCAGGTCTTGGACCGCTTTTGAGGGCCAGCCCTAGCTGCCCCTTTGAACTCATCTCTACTTTAAGGGATATGTAAAGAAGTGCACACATTCAGAATTCATGCTTGACACATCTATTGAGTATCATGCCAGACTACCTGGCTCCCCTCTGCCAAGAAAAGAAAACCCCTGATAACAAATTGTCACTGTATTCAGTTGTGGTAGTAAGAGGAGTTGGTCTCTAATGGGTTTTTCTATTCTTCTAGCCACCAAGCAGCACTTGTACCGAAGCTAGACTCTGTAACGCTGAACCATCTGAGCTTTTCCATAGCTTGGTACCAGCCGGCAACCTTCTTGACTCCTATACACCTGAGTCCGTAGAGGTAAGGGTAATGGCGCTCCCTGCTGCTCTGCCATGGAAAGGACAGAGCTGCAGTATAAAATATCTGTCAGTGGATTTTGCCTAAAGCCAAATCTGTAAAGAAACTGTAGCTTCCTGTTTGAACAAAGAACCAAAGGCATTTCAAGGAAAGCAAAGTAGGTTTTGATATGTATACACAGAAAAACATGTAGGACTGCGTTCTTCATGTCAGGGGTGGGGAGAACAATGAATGTCAATTCAAACAAAATCCAAGATTTTTAAGCCTTCATAAGAATATAGCAAACTACCTTATACTGACTAAAAATCCAGGTCTATCCGTCACGGTATGGTCAGCCAATATGCTGGCTGGCATCTGCTCTGCAGGTTTTCAGTAAGGAGCCTTTTCCATACCTACCTGGAAATACCTACGGTTAAACGTGTAACTTTTTGCATGTGAAACATTTACTTTACTGCTGAGCTGCAGTCTTGCAGACTTCCCGTGTCTGTGTGTGTGTGTGTGTGAAATATGGGCAATGTTAAGAATTTTGATAAGATTGTTCACAGAAAAAGTGGAAGTATCTCTGCTGGCTATAACAAAAGGCTCCCAAAAGTCTTATTATGGCAGTATCTGTATTAGGACCATCTATTCTAGAGGTTGGAAGCAGAGAACAAGCACATACCTCCAGCAGGCTAGGTAGTAGAGGAGATTATGCCAGTCTTCTATTCAGAAGGTATGGGCTGGGTTGACTTCAGGATAATGAGGGTAGTGCAACTTGCGAATGAGGGCAACTCCAGCAAGTACTGTATGTTAAATGAAAAGTAGGTGCAGCATGATACATGTTAAGTAAGTTGCCTATCCCCTACTGCAAAGTAAATAATGCTGCTTTGCTCCCATCAAAAAAACCACAAAAAAACCCACAAAAAACTGTGGACACCCTATGTGGCTGGGCCTCCATTAATCCCTCTGTAACTATGAACCTGATCTTAGTCATATTCAAGAGGGAACGTGGAAGGTGGTTGAGATATTTGAATTTGGTTTGAGCAGATGTTGTGATGTGATAATTTTATTTTGCAAGTTGGACTGTCCTGGAGCTTTTGGGTAGCAAACATAGATTCCAAGGAACCTTCCATCTTGGAAAATACAAAATTCAGCTTTTGATAATTGTCGAATTTCCCCAGAAGGGGGATGGGGCCCACAAGACATCCCTTATACTAACATATTTCTATTTATTTCAGTGTAAGCATATGAGTCTCTTTGAGATGACCTTTAAAATTTAATACGTATGGTTTAGACCTTGATGGGTTGAGGTCCTGTCTGCTTCATTTCCCATCCACCCACAAGCCCCTTAGACCCTACAAAAATAGACAGGATGATATACCTTTTTAAAAACATGTGGGGGGGCATGCCTTGTTTTAGGCCAAAATCACACTACCTGGTCACTTTCAGGGTGTGTGTGTGTACTGTGAGCTTACTCACCAAATTTCTGCTGATTCATTGTGCCAACTCTTATTAGCGATTTACTATGCCAAGCAACAGGATTTCAGCCAGTAGTTTGAGAAGGATCTGGAAGGAGCTTTGTGGTGCTGCATGCTATATGGTTCGCATCAAGAGCTAACCTAAGTTTAAGTTCTCTTCAATTATGTTGATTTCAATGGGACAGATTGAAACATGTGTTTAATCCTCTGATTCTGCTTTCTAAATTATCTTTGACATTGGTTTAAGCAATCTGCTTAAGAAGAGATCCAGAATCAGCTCCATTGTGAGTTGTCAGTCTTTTAAAGTTCTGTTCATAAGAGCACCTTGTGTGTGTGTGTGTGTGTGTGTGTGTGTGTTTAATGGAGTCTGGTGTGAAAACAATCTATCACATAACCCTTGAGCAAGGAAAGGCATTTTGAAGTTAACTGTAGCTTGTTTTCAATATAAATAGCAGGCGTACACCAATTTTTTAAAAAAATCTTTCTGCAATGAAAACAGTGCTTTTTGGGAGTGTAAAACAAAACTGTTCTTAGATAAAATCCTTCTGTTTTCCATTCTGCTAAGCTGCCACTTTGATATGGTATTTTCCTTGCATTTATTGAATCTTATTTCCCTGGATTATTTCCCTGGATTAATCACATGAACAGCCATAGCCATCCAGCATCTCAAAGTAAACATTACAAACCTAAGTAGCTAATGATATTTGCCTACATGGACAAAGCCATTTATGTGAGTGGCTCCAGCATGATATCATTGTACTATAAGTCTGTGATGAGGTTTGGCTTTGTTCTGATGTTACTGAGGGCACATAAAGTCAGTTCAGAGTGAGGGCAATGCTTCCTGAATAGACAGAAATCTCTGAACACTTTGATAATTATCACTAAAAATGTGCAAAAGGATGTGGCCTTTACTGTGAAAAGTTTCTTTTTGATTAATCTGTATTAAACAGGATTTTAATGTTACCTTTGTTTGTCATATTATAAAGTTTGTTTGTATACTCTCTCCCCCCCCAAACATCTTGCAGAAAACTTCAAATGCAGAAAAGCCTGCTCTGTTGTGTGGCATCTGCAAGAAAGTGATACAAGCAGCAGAGAATCTGGTGGAGAACAACGTTACAGAAGTGAGTGAGGCTACAGAAAGAAGCTAGTTATGTTTGGCTTAATGTATGTGCTTATTGACAATTGAATAGACAGCTAAATCAGTGTACTAGAATTTTTTTTAAAATGTGCTAGACATGATAGTTGTCATCCTCATTATTTTTCTTCATACATTTTGTAATAAAATTTTAATTTTAAAAAAACTGCTTTTTTAAGTGAAATTTTGGGGTGAGTCTCAATAGGCATTTTAGAGGGGGAGATTTAGTTGGCTTTGAAAACTTTGTTTTATATTTTTAACTAACACTATAAAATATTTGTATGTTATAGTTTTTAATTTTTAACTAATATGTTAATTATTTGTGATCATAAAAATATTTTTATAAGCTTCCTTGGGTCTCCACAAGAGGAGAAAAACAAGATAAAAATTAAATGAATAAACAAAAATGAAGAAATAACTGACTTAGGAATCTCACTAATAGTCCTACTTCTTTTTCCTGTGGTTCTTGGCGCAAAACATTGTGGTCAAAGTCTCCCCCCCCCGCCTTTCTGACCTGCCTTTCTGTTTCAGGAGGAGATAGTCCATCAGATGAAGAACATCTGCTATTTGCTGCCTCCTGAGGTCCTAGACCAGTGCAAGGACTTTGTAAACTCCTATGGAATGGCTGTTGTTGTTATGCTTTTGGATGCAACTAAACCCGAATCTGTGTGCATCATTCTCAGATGTTGCCCCAAAGATATCTCTTTAAATGCTGGTAGGTTACAAGGGTCTGTCTCTATATTTTGATCCATAAACTTGAGGGATTTTTACTCTCAGTTGCAAAAGTTTCTCAGATTGGATAAGTGATAAGGTTGTGACAACTTGCCACTAACATTTTTGTCAAAGATCTTCTGACCTTTTTAGGTGACCAGAGATGGACTCTTCTTGGTGGTGGTACTCTATGGCGGTGGAACACTCTTCTCAGTGATTCTTGGTCATTGCCTACTTTGTTAGCCTTGGTTAGCCACTAGTTATTTCATTTGAATCCCTCTCTCCCTTCCTTCCAGTGAGCTCAAGGCAGTACGCATGGCATTCCTCTTTCCTACTTCACTTTCATAACCATGCTTTGTAGTAACTAAGTTCAAGAGAGAGTAACTCTGACTGTCTCAAAGTCAGCCAGTGAGTTTCCTGGCTCAGTGGGGATTGGAACCTGGGCTTCTCAAATCCTGGTCCAACTTGCTAACCTAGATAACCACTAGATTGCATGCATACTTATCCTTCTTTTCCACAGGTGGATGTTATAGTTTGCCCTTGCTAATTTTTTTAAAAAATTAATTGGTCATTCTACTATAGTCATGTTCCAGTTTGTTTTGCTTTTTAAATGATTACGATCCTTTAATTGATGGTTTCAAATATTGTTGCAATCTATCTGAGGCTGCGGTCACACTGGCAAAAAGAACCGCATGTAAGCATCATTTAAATCAGATTTTATTGGTCACACATTGTAAATGTGAAATTGATTTATATGGGCTGCAAAGTGTTCACACATTGCAAATGTGAAATTAATTTATATGGGCTGAAAAGTGAGCTATTTTCAACAAGCTGGCAGAGGCCTTGATACTTCGCATTGAAAACTGATTCAGTTCAATGAGGCTTTGTGGAAATGAGTAGATTTCAGCACTGAAGATGCCAAAACTGATTTAAATCACCAGAAATAAACCAATTTCCATGTAGTGCATGTGAATGTAGCCACCAGTTGAAATAACATGTGACTTCAACGTAATTTTTAAGAAGTCCGAACAGAAATCCATTCAAATTGCCTGTGTGACCACAGCCTTAGAAATCTTTAGGCTCCAAAATGAATGGAAATAAATAATAGAATACATTTAATATAATACTGTAAAATAAAAGGTATAATCCTCACAAACTTGGAGCATAAGGGCTCCATAGGCAGAGCCCCAGTATTCGCCAACCTATAATTACATGTGCCAGAGATTAGCCCCTTGAAGACCAGGGGGATTCCTCCTTGTGGTGGTTGTGGTTACTGGATTTCTCTTGTGCAAGTGGCAGAAAAGGAAGAACTGTACCTGGAACTGCATGGTCTGGCTGCAGTTCTTTAGCAAGAGGATTTGGCTTCCTGTCTACAAACTTCTTAACAGTCTGTCTGTTCTTTCTCTTTCCTGTCAGAGACTGCTGCTCTTGAGCAACTCCCGAAATACAATGAAAGTGAATTCTGCCATGTGTGTACGATTGTCATTAAATACTTTGGTGACGAACTGGGGAAGAACACAACACAGGCACAGATTGGATCCATGCTTGTTAAGGGCTGCCAATTGCTCCCGGAAGCTTTGGTGTATCCAGTAAGTGCACTGGGTCACAACTGTAGAAGACAGTTTGCTTAAGAGTTGTGGAGGTTGTGAGGGTAGAGCACAGCACTATGGGAGATCAGTATTCTCTCTCCTCTTCATGTTAGGCTTGGTGGGCAAGATTTTGACAATTCGTATACTTTTGTGCTGCACATATGGTTGTGCTTACCCTGTGAGCAAGAGGAAAAGGAATAGTACCTTCATGAATTTAGTATGAAATACAGCTGTGGCAGATGGAACTTCCTTCCCTCATTATGGTTCTTTTATGGAAGTCTGATTTTTTAAATGTATATCTTAGAGGGACAAAGGATCTTGTGAGTGTGTATCCACTCTTTCTCCATGCTTCTTCCTGGACGGATGTTAATCAGTTATAAAGAGAAAAGGAGACAGGAAACCAGTGCATAGTAGCATTAGCTACTTATGACAGCATACAGTGTATCAGACTGACTGACTGACAGACAGAAAGACAGGCACTCAGATAAAATTACTGATAATTTACTGAACAGATATGCCAGTGTATTGTTATTCTTTTCCAAAATACTTGACCTGGCAGTTTTTATATATATATAAAAGTTTCCAACTCAGGAATTTTGAAAGAGGTGCAGCTTTGGCAAACCTATTGAGGTTTTGGGGGTCGAGACGGAGATTTTATTTTTTTGTATCCCTGGTGTGTCAGTTCCTGTCATCCTAGCCAGAATGACTATGTTGGCTGGAGATGGTGGGAGGTGTAGTTTAGTACAACTGAAAGGCATCACAGTTGGATATTTCTAAACTCTTATGATTTCATACCTTGATTACTAGAAGCTTTAACCTACTATTCCACTGCTTTGCTCCCATCATCCCCAGCAGAGCACTGTGTTTTAATTGTTCTGGTTTTTTTTACAGTGTGATCAACTGGTGGCGCAATATGAGCCATCTGCTGTCCGCCTCCTGATACAGATCATGGAACCAACGTTTGTGTGTGCTGTAAGTTGCATCATAAAGCTGTTTTCAATTTGAGGGACATATCTATTGAGCAATTTAGACTGTAACCCTATCTATATTTACTGGGAATGTGACCATTTAACAGATTTGTGCTTACCTCTGAATAGACATGTACAGGATTCCATGGTATCTCTGTCCTATGAAGCCACAGATAGACTTGTATAGTTTTTTAAGGCTGAAGGTAAATGTGAACTGACAGTCTTCTCCTGTTATCATAAACAATGTTGAGGTTGACTCAGCCTTCCATTTGAGTTCAGTAAATGGAGTACCCATCTCTCGGAGGGGAGGGGCAATGTGTAGCCTGAACAAACCCATCTCTCCGAGGGGAGGGGCAATGTGTAGCCTGAACAATTAAATTGCAAAGTGCCCAGAGAGTACTTCAAGCACTACATGACCATATACAAGCAGTACACTTTTTCCTCTTGCCTGCTTATTACTCTTTGTTTTAGCTTCATATTGAGTATCTATAACATTGTTTTGTACCATGTTACTTTCTTGTCCAAATACTCTTGCTTTCCTCCGAGGGGAGGGGCAATGTGTAGCCTGAACAATTAAATTGCAAAGTGCCCAGAGAGTACTTCAAGCACTACATGACCATATACAAGCAGTACACTTTTTCCTCTTGCCTGCTTATTACTCTTTGTTTTAGCTTCATATTGAGTATCTATAACATTGTTTTGTACCATGTTACTTTCTTGTCCAAATACTCTTGCTTTCCTTTGAAAGTTGACTCACAGCCTCTCGCACCATAATTAAAGACTGTGAAACTGATTCTTATGGGGTCCTAAGCTTGGAACTAGTTAATGGTGCTGCCAAAAAAACTGAAAATTGTTCTGAGGTTTTGAGCTGGTTGGGAAAGCTGTTAAATACATTTTCTCTGGTAGAACTATAAACCCTTGAAGACAATCTCTCTCTAGCTTGTGTTCAGATTGCTTTAAGACTAATCTACAGTATTTGCTTATTCTGTATGCAAGAAAACAGAGTCTGTAAAACTGGTCTGGTAAACTGCTACCGGTATTTACAGATCTGGAAAAAAACCACCATGAAGCCAAAGAAGTATGATAGGAAACTGGGAATGAGGGAAGCAGTAAGGGTAGGAGGAATGGGCAGTCTGTCGCCCTACGGCTATGGTCAAAAAAAGAGCAAAGCGTGCTGCTTATATACTGCCCCACAGTGCTTCAAGCACTCTCTGGGCGGTTTACAAGTTAATTATGCAGGCTACACATTGCCCCCCCCCCAGTGAGCTGGGTAATCATTTTACTGACCTTGGAAGGACAGAAGGCTGAGTCAACCTTGAGCCTCTACCTGGGGCAGAACCCTGGGTCGTCAGCACAGTTTTGGCTGCAGTACGGCAGTTTAACCACTGCGCCACGAGGCTCGATGAAGCAAACAATTCAGACTTCTGGTAGACAGAGCCTACTCTACTTGTAGCAGCCTGCTGGGTGGGAGGAAGAGGCAGTCAGGAGGGGACATCACATCTGTGCGCGCGCACACACACACTCATGCACACAGAGGAGGGGGAGCAGTGTCTGTTTTTGGCTCTCCCCCAACATAATTTGCCCCAAGGATGTGTGGCCCCAGGATCAAAGAAAAAGACCTCTTTCTCTGCAAAAGGGGGTAACGGCCTGCTTTTTACCATACAGAAGCTGGGAGCCTGTCCTGGATCCCATCTTGTGGGCATGGAAGCCTGCGCCTGGGGCCCTAGCTACTGGTGCAAGAACATGGAGAGTGCTGCCCAGTGCCAGGTAAGCAAGGAGGCATTGTCCAAATATTGAGAGGGGGTACTGACTATTCAGATAGGGAACACTACCCACGGTTTCCAGCACACACAAGAGTGGGACTGTGGTATCATGGTTTTCAAACAGAAGTAAGGGCTGAGGATATGACCGCAAAGGCACAGGCCTCATCGCGCCAGGAAGGCTTGCTTTAATGAGAGCAGTTTCCTTTCGACAACCCTTTCATCTGCCGGGGAATTGGTTGCAATCATCCTCAGGCGATGCTTTCCTTTCTTTAGTCAGAAAGTGCTACATGAATGAATGAATGAATGAATAGCAAATGCCATAAATAACCTAAATCAGAAGAAGAAGAAGAAGAAGAAGAAGAAGAAGAAGAAGAAGAAGAAGACAATTGGGGGATTTCTAAAAGAAGTGCTCCATCAGGTGTTGGAAAAAAACCCCTATTTGTCATGAATCTTGCATTTGCAGCATTTTGTTATCTGATTAGTAACTGGAAGGTAAGCCTGGGTCTAGCTTGCAAGTTTGATTCCCAGGCTTCATCTCTGGCATTCCCCTTGAAGTCCAGATGAATCCTAAATAGAGATGGGCATGAACCAAACAATGAACCAGGAAGTTTGTCAAAAATTGCTGGTTTGTTGGTTTGGGTCAGTTTGGGTTTGTCAAAACCAATGAACCAAAATGAACTAAATCAACAAACCTCTTTTTAGTAATTTAATGAACTTCCTGGTTCATTTGCCCCCTGCCCTCCATCCTGCCCCCTTCGCCCCTCTACCTTATGCTGCCATCTCCTCCTCCTCTTCCTCCTCTGTCGCTGCCATCATCAGAGACAGCAGGCCAAGCTCCCAGAAGGGAAGCTGTCTCTAAAGATCGTGATGATGGTGCAGGAGGAGGAAGCGGCAGCACAAGAGAGGGAGGCAACAGTGGCAGAGGGAAAGGGGGCAGAGGGGATGGGGGTTAGTTTCCCCTAACCTCAGGCATGTTTGTTTAAAAAATGTACTGGTTCATGTTGTTTTTTTTTTTAAAGTTAAGAAATTTTGCGGTTCGTGGGCAGGTACGAACTACAAATCACCCTTTTTCTAGTTTGTGCCCAACTCTAATCCTAAGTGCTCTTACAATATTAATAAACTGGTACCAGACCTAACACAAGGATCATGGTTATGCAGTTGGGCATAAAGATTTACAAGTCCTATGATGAGAATATGGTTCTATCTCCAAACCATGAGACACATCTACCTAGTTCACGGAGGCAATCAACAAGCACTGTTGCACACATCCAGACCCACATCTGTTATTAGCATCACTTACAAACACTTGTTTCCATGCATAAATCTTCCTGGCTGGATCATGGACATACAGATTTTATTTAAACTGAAATAAAAGCAAGATTAATGGACGGTAACACTTTTGAATTAGTTGACAACTTATTTTGAAATTCAGGAACAATTGGAGTCTCCAAGCATGTCAGCATTTTAAGTATCAGTTGTGTGTGTGTGTTTTAATGGGTCTCTTTTATTTCCCCCACCCCACAGGCCATTGAATACTGCAAACATCATATATGGAACTAGAGGCAACCCTTCAATGAAAGAACGTTGACTGCAGTTTTAATGAACAAATTCTGGAATTCGACTGGGTGGGAAATAGTAAGAGGTCTAAATGTTGCTGGGGGCCATCTTCCTTTTTCATATTTGGCCCAGTTTTAAGTATGATTGCTATTGAGTGCCTGGTCCAATTTAAAGAGAGAGAGAGAGAGAGAGAGAGTGATTGTAGAGGGAAAAACAGGTTGTTCATAATGCTCTGAATCACCATATGTTTAGTTTGGGTTTTCAAGCCATGGTGGAGGAGGACATGGGAGGGGGAGAAACTTGGGGAGTATGGAATTACTAGAATAGATAAGAATTTCCTTTAAAATGGTTTTTAGTATAATACTAATAAATTGCCAGGTGCCAATAGAAGAAGGGGAGAAAAATAATAGTCCAAAACAGGGTGCCTAAAATGAGATTGTCACGTTTCCAATGCGTTCTGCCTATAATAGCATGTAAATGAATACTGAATTTTAAATATGTCCTTGTGTAACTTTGAGGGAAATGGTTTGGGATTTTTATTGCACAGGACCACACCCAGTGGACAGAACATGACAGCGTTCCACTGAGACATTCTTCTTTCACATATGTTGTTGAACTGGGTCTTTTAAAATCCTTTTCATCGAATTTAATATATTAAAAATTGAAATATTTTAAATCTGCCTCCGTCTTTCATACTTTTCTTCAAGAAACTCCAGGAACTATTGCTATGTGAGCTTTGGGCAAGTTTTATGTTCTTGAGGGCTCAAAGTCATGTTGAGGAGACTTTTCTCTTCAGTATTTGTGGGGGGAGGGGGTCTGAAATTTATTCTTTTTATTGTAAGACATCAGGTTTCAGAATAAAAGAAGCCACTTCCAGTCAATGAATATGGGAGAGTAACATATTACTTGTACTTATTACTCTGTCCTGTCTTGTTTCTAAGCTGTGTTATTTGAGATTCTTTTAAACTGGTGATGCCCGATTAAATCTGGGACTGTGTATGAATAAAGTATACTCTGTACCAATAAACTGCAGCCCCCCTCCCTCTTATACTTACAGGTATTTTAAGTGATATTTTTGTATCTGTTTTTCCAATTAAAACTGGAGATAGAGAAAAATCACTGGCAGAAATCCAGCTAGTGCAACTACGTGGGCATAAATAGTGGTTATGTCATCAACTTGTGATGTTACTCTTTAATTTAATTTAACTTAATTTAAAGCTTAATTTCCCCTCCAGCTCCCTTACATTCCAAGGCTCCCTAGGAATCTCTTTTGACTCAAGGAAACCTTTGGGAGTATCAAGATGAGGAGACAGCCAGCCTTCAATGTTGGAAAATCATGGCCAGATCACCATCAGCAGTCCTAATCCTGATGGCACCAATGATCCATCAGTGTTTTTTAATATCAAAATGATGTCCCCCCCATCCCAAGGCTCTCAAAGATTTCCCCGGATCAAAAGGGTTCTCTAAGAGAGCCTTGGAACCTAGTGGAATGAAACATTAAATTAAATAGTAACATTGTGGGCTGATGACAACATTGTCACTTACATCTGCAGTTAATAAATAGGTTTTCCACCACTGTATACATTCCACTTTATGAATGGCTATTTGGTCCTGAGAGTGCCGAAACTCTAAAAGTGCTTAAGCCCATTTATACAATTAAAATTTCAACACGTATTAAATGTATGTGAATGTCTAGTGTAGACAAAACAGCTGTTCAGAAAGGAGTATTGTCCCATGCGACACATGGCAGAAACTGGTGGCACAGAAATCTTGCTGCTTTTATTTGTAGAACAGAACCCTCATTTTGATCCAGCCTTTCTTGTTTGGGATACACACCTATATGGTTTTTCGCTCCAGCTGTATGAAGTACTTTGTGGTCTAAAATGGGGATGTGTGTCACCATCTGCATTGACGTCATATATATGACCACCCTAAAATCTATTCTGCTGAAGTTGGTATTTCAAAGAAACACAAAGAAAAAATCAGTTGCATATTCATATGAGATACATGGGCAGAGGCAGGCTTCTCTTCACACAGATCTATGAAGATAAGGTTTTTGGACTTCTTGTGAGTAGAGCCAGCCTGTGTGGCCTTGGGAAGCTTCAAAGTCCCAGGGTAGCCCCCCCCACACACACACACAGAAGAAAGGAATGGGAAACCCATTCTCTATTTGGCAAACCCTGAAAAGGGTCATCATAAGTCAGAATTAACTAGACAGCACATGATGATGAGACTATTACTTTTCAGTTTTGAAAAGGTAGATTCTAGGCATAGAACATTTTGGGAAAACTGGAACCATCTAATGAATACTTCCAGTACTTGGGGAGGAAAGGCATAAATAGAAAAAGTCAGGTAAATCTCATACTCATGAAACTCAGTGCAATGTAACTATTCTTAATTTTGCCTTTTATTGTACCCAAAGATGTTAAATATCCTACACAGTTCTTGAATTCCCATTGCAATTTCTCCATGTAACTGGTGCTCTTTGCCACCTATGTGTTCAAGCCTTTCCTTTTCATTGCTGTATGCTTTAGCTCTCCCTGAAAAATTTCTGAGAAGCTAGATCGTGAAATCGGAATTATGCAAAATATTTTTCTTAATTTGCATAATTTTATTCAAACTGATTGTGTGTGCACTCATGACACACAGAGCTCCATATAAGGCACACTCCCAATTTCCTTTCTTGATAGTGTTATAGAGAGGGAATATACATGCTGGTATATGGAGGCACACAATTCTGATTTCTCAGCTCCCATAGTGTGGTGCACTTAACCTACACAACCACTAAGATCTATGTCCAAGAGGCTCAGCGCGTCAGTTTCAGTAGGACAGGTAAAAGACAGATTAACCAAATTCTTGTATAATATATTTCTGGTTCCTTTGATAGACCATCCCAAAACTCTCAACACTTCACTGTTCAAAAACAAAAAGAGGGAAAAAAATTTAATTACACACAAACACTCTACGTTCAGAACCTGAATTAATGTCATTCTGTTGCTTTTGATGCTGCAGTGTTTTGGTAAACCAGCGAAAATGAAGAAATGGCTTCAGTCCCCCCCCCTTTTTTTCTGTTAATGAGCCAACACAGATTAATACCAAAGAGATTTGTGGAGCTTCCTCAAGTTCGTCACAAAATCCCTGTGTATCAGTTGATAGTCCTAGGATAATGTTAGCTGCATTTGGTTAGCAGCCCTCTTTCCCCACCACCACTTTGGGGGTTGGCGGGTGGAAGAATATACTGGAATAATCCAGGACATAGTGGAGAACCTAGCTGGTTCTGTTGATGGGACATGGCACCATGATTATTGCAATTCTAGCCATAGGTTTTTTACCTCAGGGCCTCCCACTGCTTTCCCCCCCTTAAACACCTTTTAATTAAAAAAGAAAATTAAAAAGGTATGAAATTAACGGTATGATTGCCTGGTAAAAGCAAACAGTCCTGAGAGTCTTCACTACTAGAGGTGAGGTTCTCTAAGGCTGCCATAACAGAACAATTGGCGATCTTGGTCAGGTTTACTCTGGAGCAGCTTGGTGGGCAGGCACTGGGGACCTCAGCCTCTTGATTTCTCTTCTGCCACGTTTGTCCCTTGGTCGGTGTTCTCCCTTCTGCAGTGACAGTCTGTGTGGGCCTGGGCTTTTATTGGTGTGCTACACCAGCGATGCCACTTCTAGTCATAACTCTGTGATTTCCAGCGGACTCTCCATGATAACTTCCCTCATCTTGTGCATAGGGGTGGATTTGGCGGACTCGGTGCGGGCATTCCTGTCACAGTATGCCCCGCCATCAGCAGTCAGTGTCTCCAAGGAGCGGCCAAGCACTTTCTGGTCATCCTCAGGGAGGCTGTTAAGGTCAGAGGTTAAGAGAGTGCCCGTGCTGCCATGGACCACATGGATCCCATCAGGTCCTTTGAGCTCAATGGGCTGCTTATGCCGGAAACGAAGGCTCCCTTGGCTTGGACTTCTTTGCTCCTCCTCCTCATCCAGATCATTCTGGATCAGCTGGAAGAAACCCAAGTTGAAGTCAATACATCACAGTATTCTTTTTCACTCCTGCTCCAGAAAAAATATAAATGTAATGTTTCCAGTGGGAGAAACCATTGTAACAAGGTAGGAAATCCATGCATATATTGGGCTCTTAATTAAAAAAAAACAGTATGGGTTTCAATGTTATATCATTTCTGAGGAAGAATGCATGGCTGTCATTTTCTTTGCACTACTGTAGGAACCAAACCCCTTCTTGCACACTTTAATGTAGTGAAGGGATTTAAGTGTGTCGGTGAGGCTGGGAGCAATGCTGTCAGGAGACTAGACTCCATTATGAGCCTGGATTCCTAGCAGAATTTCCCAAGGCAGAAAGGTCACAGCTCAGACACCAAACTAAGATGCATCCATGCTTTTCAAGGCAGCTACGCAGCAGCAGCTGAAGGTTATACTGGTGGAGAAGACAATGGTAGTAGCACTCAAGCCAACTTTTGTTAGTACTGCACAGGTGGCGGCAATGGTAAACCCCTGTTGGATTTTCCTTATTATGAAAAATCTATGATGAGACAGTTCAAAATGAAACAAGAGATAGTGCTGAAAGATGATACTCCCAGGCTGGAAAGTATTCAATCAGTTGCTGGAGAAGAGCAAAGGACAAGTCTGAACAGACCTGTGTAACTAGATTAAATCTGAAAGGACAATGAATGGCTGACATGCACAAAAGTGAAAGGAAAATTCAATGCTGCATAATATATACAATGGGAACATGAAACGTGAGAAGTATGATTCAAGTTAAAGCAAGTAATGGAACATATAAACATTGCAGTGCTTGGTGTCAGTGTACTAAAGTTGACTGGAATAAGATACTTTTAGTTGGACTACAAAATATTCTGTTCTGGAAATGTCAAATCTAGAAGAAATGGAGTGGCTATAATACTGAAGACATATGTAGCACTGGCAGTTAAGGGCTATAATGCAAAATCTGACCAAATAATATCGGTTGGACTCCATGGAAAACCTATCAACATAACTACCATTCAAGTCTACACTCCAGCTACCATTGGTGAAGAGATGAAATTGAAAACTTTTATGCCAGCATCTAAGAGGAAACTGTCCACCAAAACAAGACATGCATAAAATCCTAGATAACTGGAACGCAAAAGTAAAATACAAAGCAGAATCTAATGTTGGAAAATTTGGTCTAGGGATCAGAAAAAAAGCAGGAAATTGATTCATAGAATTCTGTGAAGGCAGCAATCTGTTTATTGTGAATATATGCTTTAAGCAACCAAACAGATGGCTGCACATGTAGACATCACCATATGGTCAATTCAGAAATCAAATAGACTATGCAATTGAAAGCAGAACATGGAGAAGCTGTATTCTCCCTGCTGAAGCAAGACCAGGATTGGATTGTTGTGCTGATCAGTGATCATTAACTGTTAATACTAAACATTAGAGTAAAACTGAGAAAGAACACTAAAAGATTTGTCATGCCAAAAAATAATTTAAACAACATTCCTGATGAATTCAAAGTCCATATAAGGAAGAAATTAGCATAACTAAACTCAACTGATTGTGAAACCACGGTTAGGACAGAATATGAAGAGACAGAATGGCTTCCTATAGACAAAGGTGTCAGACAAGGAAGCATTTTATCCCCTAACTTGTTAAATATGTGTGCAGAACACATGATGCTGAAAGCCAGACTAGACTCAGGTGAAAGAGGAGTGAAAATTGGTGGAAGAAGTATCAGTCACTTAAGACATGCAGATGACGCCATCTTACTGACAAATAGCATCAATCACCTGAAGTGACTTTTAGTGAAAGTGAAAGAAGGTGCCAAAGCAGACACAGAAGAACTACACATTTTTAATATTGACAATGAAGAAATTGAAAGATCTTGTATACTTTGGTTCAGTCATCAAATCAAATGGAGGCTGCAGCCAAGAAATCAGAAGAAGACAGAGACTCTGAGGAGCCACAATGAAGGAATTAGAAAAGATCATCAAGTGTAAGTAAGGATGTGCCCCTAAAGACCAAGACCAAGATCATCCACGCTCTGGTGTTCCTGATTACTATATATGGGTGTGAAATCTGGACAATAAAGAAAGCTGACAGAAAAAAAAGGTATGTTTCAAATATGGTGCTAGGCAGAGCTTTGTGGATAACTTGGACTGGCAGAACGACAAACAAATCATGCCTAAACTATTTCTGAAGGCAAAAAAAATGATGTAACCATCCTACTTTGGGCACATCATGAGAAGGCAGGTTTCTCCGAAAAAGACAAGCCTAAAGGCAGCAAGAAAAGAGGAAGATCAAATACAAGATGGAGGGCCTCCCTACAGGAAGCCCCAGCCTTGAGTTTAGAAGAGCTGATCAGGGCTGTTGAGGAGAGGACATTATGGATCTCTCTCATTCTTAGGGTCGCTAAAATTCAGAAGTGACTTGATGGCACATAACAACAACAAGAACCACACACTGAATGTAGGTATTCATTGTTCATGTCATAATTCATCTATACATCTATGCTGAGATCTTTCTATAAAACAGGCTGGGAGGAAATGCAGTGATTAAAGTGGAGAGGATATTGGTTAATACTTGAACAGTAACTTCTTAATAAGCAAAATATGTTGCTGGCATTGAACGGTCTGAAAAGTTTTGCCTCTGCAGCTAGACTGTTCTGGGTCTGGTCATCCCCTAGAATCTGGATTGAAGAGGGCAGCCTCCAGAGGTCTAGGGGAGCAGAAATGCTGTGCCATAGAATGGGGAGGGGGCAGTACTCCCATGCCCACGACCCTCCACATTGTTTCTTATTCTTTTAACTGAAGAAGCCCTTGTAGCCTGACTGACAAAAATTAAAACTAAATTGGATGAGAGGAGGGATTGGGGGGTAGTTCAGGTTCTCAAAACATGGAAAAATGGACTGTTTGCTTCCTAGAGACCATTAAGAGCTTACTTCAGTCAAAACATTTTTCCAGCTTTTAAATTTTAGTAGTAGTTTTAGAAGAGGGCACCGTGTTAATCTGTGCTAGAGTATCAGACAAAAACAAAATAAAAATAAGAAAGAAGACAAAAAACATTGTAGCACCTTAAAGGCCTAGCTGCTATATTGTGAGCTTTCTGAGTCAGAGGAAGTGGACTAGTCCAGGAAAGCTCACATAAAAATATTGCAGTTAGTCTTTAAGGTGCCACAATGTTTTTGTCTTCTTTAAATTTCAGTAGGTTCTGGGGGCATCGGAGAAGCCCACATATTGCCCATCCTTGATTTAGACAGGAGACTCTCCGAAATTCACAGTATTTCATTCTGTGCTTTATGTTGGAGAAGGATGGGATTATAACAAATGTTATCTTAAAACCAACAACAACAGATGTTTAACACAAACAGATATTTGATGTTGTTTTGTCCCCCCCCCCAGTAGGATACATTGGGGTAGAGTGGTAACCAACTGGGTGACCATGGAGCAGAATGTTGAATCATCTGAACGAGGCTGGATATTGAAAAAAAAAGACATTATGGTTAGACAAATATCACAGTTCATTACAAGCAGCTACTGGCTCACCACTTGTGTCCATGTGGCTGTAGCAATGGGAGAGAATTTTGTTCAGTCAGCATTTTTAAGTGAAATTATCTGATTTACACTGTGGGGCTAACATGCAGATACAAATACCATTATTCTTTGGATGGTATGCTTCTCTGCATTTTGCACTACAGTTCTTAGATTAAAAAGGTATACAAAGTGCAGACACTATGAGAAATAAATAAGACATTTCTCACATTGGCTTCATTAGACAGAATGTGGACACAGTCTGATTTGTCCATCATTTCTTGATTCTACACAAAAAGGGCATAATAAAGCATACAAGGAGATGATCAGAGAAAAATTGTTGTAAGCCGCCCAGAGACCTTAGAGATGATCAGAGAAAAACCAGTTGTTCCCTTGACGTTTTTCACTCTTTAGTGAAAGAGTGAAGAATGCCCTAAATGATCATGGACCTCGATACCTCCAGTTGTTCCCTTGACGTTCTTCACTCTTTAGTGAAAGAGTGAAGAATGCCCTAAATGATCATGGACCTCGATACCTGGCAGAATGCCTCCTTCCAATGAGATCTGCCCATCCTAAATGATCTTCCCAGGCCGAGCTGTTCAGACCCCGAGAGAGGCTCAGAAAGAGAAGACCAAAAACTGGGTCTCCTCAGTGATACTTCCCATCAATGAAATAATCTCCTCCCTGAAATTTTCCTGGCCCCTTCAATGGAAAATTTCAACCAGTCTTTGAAAACATGGCTCTTCAGACAGCCCTTCCTGGAGCTTATAACATCATAAAACAGTGGTTACCTCAGTGTTCATATGAACTGTTCCACCACCTTGCCTTTAAATTACCTTAATCATGTTTAGTTAATTTTATGTTGTTTTGTCCATGTGCACTGATGCTAATTTTCATTTTCTTCAGGTATTATATTTACTGTTTATGTTTACTGTTTTCAAACTGCTATCTATTATGTTACTTTCTATCTATTATTGTTCTGTTATTAGCCACCTTGGGTTATTTTTAAGAAGAAAGGCAGGATAAAAATATTTTAACCAAATAAATAAACAAACAAATTTAGTTGCACTCCAGCAGTGGAAAGTGATTTCAGTGCTTTTTGGAATGCTCATCCTTCCCCCTCCCCCCGATATTAAGCAATAAACAATTCTCAGAGGAAAAAAAATCATTTTTCCTTCTGGCAATTTTTCCGCCTACTTGTTATGCCCTTCCAAAATCAGGCCACGAGCAAAAAAAATGGCCTGCCTCACCTCAGCATTTATCTGCAGCACTCCCTCACCTTTGTTAAAACTCCCCATCTTTGGGGCTCTTTAATTTGATGTTCAAAAGAACTCCCATCTGTGTCTGACAGTCTCTTGCTTTCATCCTGCAAAACTGTGCACAGCACTGTCTCCATCCTTTGTTGCTGAGAGGGAGTAAGTGATCCAGAACTTTCACCACATGTCTCTGCAGCCTTTTCCATGCAATTTTTTAAAAAAATGAGCTTACTTCCTAGGGATGGAACAGGGAGCCTATGCTTGCTGTCTAATGTAGATATCAGCATTTAGCACTGCAAGGGGGCTCAGCAGTGTACGAAGAGCATGAATTAGTATGCTGAACATGGAGCTTTAAAAGCAAGGTGTAAGGATACCCAGACAGTGGCCACAGCATTATCACTGGTTGCAGGCAGGGAGACACCTCTTCTGGTATTTTATACAACTTTCGCATTCTTAGATTCAGGGACTTGAGAGCCAGATGGAGAAATAGTTGTGGGCGCCACACCATACGTATAGTCAGAAGAAGGCAGTTTTGAAGAACATACACCACATCCCAGAGGGCACAGCAAGCAGTTTGAAGAACCTCATGCAGAATCAGGCTCTACCTCAGAGACTGAGGACTGGTCCCCCTGACTGGTGGTGGCTCTATTCACCATCCGTTCAGCAAGCAATCTCTTCAGCCGCATATAATCATCCAAGACTACCTTTAAGAGAGAGCCCTGGAAGGAGGGAAGGGAATGGGCAACAGGAGAAATTACACGCTATCAGTCCTGAAATTTCCCTTGTTCAGGGGACTCCAAAGTCAAGCAGGCATTTCCCCTACATTAAAAAAAAAAGGTTAAGGCAATGATCCTAGAAGCTTCTGATGTTTAGAAGAATTTCTTCTGGCCCAATTCTGTTTTTAAAAACAATCCTTGTCTTAACACATTCCATGTTGGTATCCCTCCCAGTTATCCTCCATGACTGAAAAGTTGGTTAAAGAAAACATATTGTTTTTATGTGTGGATACACCTATATCTATCTAAACATATATGCACACCAGAGTCAGAGGAATGAGAGCTTTAGAAAGATGATTGCTGGTGTTTTTTTTTGGGGGGGGGATGACGACCAAATAACTCACAAAACCTCCATATCAAAAAGTATGAACTAGCCATCAACCTGCAGGATCAAGATGCAGGACACCAGATATTATTTACCTTGATGGGCCCTTCTCGCATGATCTGGCCCAGTTTGGCAATATTATCATATTCCTGGATCGCTGCTCTCAGGTAGCGATCATCTTCAGGTTTGGAAGCGGACGGCTCTCGCCCAAACGTTCCCTAAGAAGAAATTTAAACATTTTGAAGGAAAAGCAGACATTTAAAATACCCCTACTAGAATCCTTTTGAGAACTCCGCTTCCCAGATGCCCTCTGTTGGCCCTTTGTCTACCATTTTCTGAAGGGCAACTCCCTTTGCAATAAAGTATTGAACTACCAAGCGGACATGCTATCAAGTGGAATAACACTGCAGTAACCATGAACATCAAGCTTAGAGGCAGAGATTTATGGGTGATGCACAAAGAAGATGCAGTGCATCTCGTTCTCAGTCAAGCGTATCATTACCAGCTACTGTATATCAGACTGAAAGGCATCACAGCAGCTGTTCAGGTAACAAAGTCATAGCTTGGTTAGTACACTGGGATGTGGTTGCTTGACAAGTGGTATCTAAGAATGGGTCTTTTGAGGTAGTATGAACAAAAAAAAACAAAAAAAGAAAGAGGCTGTTGATTTCACCTTTGCGTTCTTTTATTTGCTTCCAAAACTGAGGCTCTAAAATAATATGATGCGTATTAATGAGTGATTTTGTATTAACAAAAAAAGAATATGAAAGTGTTTTCACTCTTTAAGCTTTCTTCTGTGTTCTCCTTCATTTCACTCTTTTGTGTAAAGATTCCTTCACCCTTTGTATGTCAAAGGTTTTTTTTCACCCTTTATCTTTCTCTCATCCTTTGTATGTCAATTATTGCATAATAATGTTTTCATCCTATAATGGAGCAAGGGCTATTACAAAGAGATGGAACTGTGACCAATGGGGGATATCTGAAACCAAGCAGAACCTCCCAGGGAAGGGAAATCTTAAATCTATTGAAGGGCCTTGAACGTAGTGAGGAGCGGAGGGTGTTTTGGTCGTTGCCTCACAGGCTTTTGCATTTGGTTTCAGTTTGGGAGGGGACCCCCTTTCATTTCTTTCAATTATTTTTGCTGCTGCCACACAACCTATCTGTGCCTGTATGCATCCTTGGCGTTAATTTTTTACATTTCTTTGGGGATTTCCTCCCTTTTTGGTTTTTTCTTCAGGGGGGCACCTTTTTCTTTCTTGGGCAGTTTTTGCTGGTGCCTGCTTGAATGCAAAGAAGAAAAGACAAGAGAAAGCATTTAGTGGTGGGAGGAGAGAGATCTCCCCATATTCTAGTACTGTAGTTTTGGTTGGGAGGGAGGGACTTTGACTTTTCTTTTTTTGCTTTTATTTGCTTTCCTTCTTGTCTTGTTTTTTGTAAAAGTGGACTCTCTATTTGGGGTGTTGTTTTTCTTTTTTTTCCCCTTTGTGTGCAGATGTGTACAATCTCCCTATTAGACTGATTTTAAAAAAACACTGGTAATTTGGCTAACTTAAAGACGTATATTTTGGTGGGTTTGTAGATTATTTTTCTTTCTCTTGCACTGTTGCATGCTTTTAAACTGCATAGATTCTTTGTTGCCTGCCTTGCCCCTATTTTTTTGGTATGGTTATTAAAGAGGTCATTGGAGCTTTTTTCAGACTAATGCCAGGAGATGTGCCTCGTGCAAAACAAAATAAAAAATCCCAAGAGAGGCAATACTTTTTATGTTAAGTAAAAGAATACTGTAATGTACCAAAAAAAAGAGAAGGGGGGGCGAAAGAAACAAACAAACAAAAAAACAAACAATGTACCAAAAAAGTGAGAGGGGGGCTCGAAAGAAATTGAAACAAAACAAACATGAAAAATTTCCCTGTGTACATCCTTAGTAATGTCTGCTTCTGTTGTTTCATATGGATTTGCTTCATTTAGGCTGGGATAGACTACAGAAAGAATTACTCCGACACGTTTTTTGACTATGCTGCAATCGGCAGTCCTAAAAGGTAGAAGGTGCCATCTCACATGAGTCCTGGCTGGACTATTCCACAGGTCTGTGATTTCACTGAGGTTCTCAGGCAGGTCATCCTCGTGCTCAGCTTGTGCTGCCAGTTCCAGATTTCTGCAGAAAGGATCCAGCCAGACAGGGTTTGCTCTGCAAGGATAAAGGACCATAATAAATTGGCTTAGGATCTAACGTATCGGCCAAGTGTTTAAGTGTGGGTCACTTCACAACCTTATACTTCAATGCACACAAAAAATATATTAAATGTAAACATAAACATGATGCACGCAATTATAGCCAACTCGCATTTTAAAGTATGTATCTTACGCACACAACTGATAAAATGTCCAGATTTTATCTGTGTGATAATAAACAGCGTCAAAAGTGCTATGCAACTAAAAAAACTTAACCATTTCCTCCCCTGTGGCAATTTTGAGAAAACCTCCTCTTGTGAAGTTAGTGTTTACATGCACAGGAATCTTCCATTTGCACCAACTGTCCTTCACACTTGGCTTTGAAATCTGAATGGAAGATCCGGTGTGAAGACATGTGATTAGCACTGATTGTTGTATCTGGGGTGTGTGTGTACTACATCTCTTCAAGATATGGGGGGAGAGGAATTTAGAGTTGAAAAGTGACATTTGGGGAAAGGGTTAAACTCTTTTCCCTGCTCCAGATTTTCCTATCAAGTAGCTTTTCAGTAACAAGAGAAGCAGTTGAGATTTTTTGTTTAAGACATCTGTGGATATATAATATATAGTTAAATTCTCCATGGGAAACAGGCAAATCCAATCCAGCTTAATGCTATTTCCAGCAAATCCTGAACAAGAATGCTGTTCTATTTGAGAATTATAAAAATCCTGTGCATCTCCATAGTTCTTGTGCCCTCTACAGGTGAATAATCCAGTGCAGGAAAGAAGCCATTCTTTATAGCGCTGGTTCCCAACCTTGGGCTACCCAGGTGATCTTGGACTGGAACTCCCAGAAAACCTGTCTGGTACAGCTGGTGGTAAAGGCTTCTGGGAGAAGAATGCTGTTCTATTTGAGAATTATAAAAATCCTGTGCATCTCCATAGTTCTTGTGCCCTCTACAGGTGAATAATCCAGTGCAGGAAAGAAGCCATTCTTTATAGCGCTGGTTCCCAACCTTGGGCTACCCAGGTGATCTTGGACTGGAACTCCCAGAAAACCTGTCTGGTACAGCTGGTGGTAAAGGCTTCTGGGAGTTGCAGTCTAACGCCTGGCACAGATGGTCGTGAAGGCTTCTGGGAGTTGCAGTCTAAAAACACCTGGGTGACCCAAGGTTGGGAACCAGTGCTTCATGGGAATTATAATTATTCTTCGTAGCCTGGAATTTCTCTCCCCCCCCCCAAAAAAGATAATGAAATGTTCAAGAAGTCTTGAGACTTCTTGTGACTTCAAGAAATCTTGAGACTTCCTGTGACATTTCTCGGGGGGGGGGATGCTTACACAAAGAAATCCTGTATAAGAAGCAAAGTGATCACAAAGGCTGTGATTTCTACAGCCCTCAATTTCTCTTCAAAAGTGAGAGTCTGTGAAGTTCACAGACCCACCAAGCGCCAACAAGAATAGGAATGTATTCGCGAAGGCTGTCCTCTGAAGATGCCGGCCACAGAGACTGGCGAAACGTTATGCCAACAAGAATAGGAATGTTCCTCTCAGAGATGCCATCAGGTTTCTGATGCTCCCTTTTTTCAAACTGGTTCCTTGAATGTATACCTCACTCCTCAGTTCAAATGAACTGGGGGACTGGGAGCAGTTTTGGTTGTATAACATTCTTAAGTCTTGATTGGCTATTTCAAATGAAGCAAGGTGCAATAAATGGGACTTAGGAATGTTCCTCTCAGAGATGCAGTCAGGTTTCTGGTGCTCCCTTTTTTCAAACTGGCTCCTTGAATGTATACCTCACTCCTTTTTTGAGGGAGGCGGAGTGCTTAAAGATCCTTATCTAGTCACTCAGTTTAAATGAATTGGGGCACTGAGAGCAGTTTCGGTTGTATAACATTCTTAAGTCCTGATTGGCTATTTTAAATGAAGCAAGGTGCAATAAATGGGACTTGACTTCCATGTAATGTGTCTAAAACAGTGTTAATCAGTGCTAAATGTTTCTCACAAGAACTTACCCATCAAAGGAATATTTATTTGTATTTGGCATATCCATGATGTCCATAAAACCTCGGTTACCTGTAAAGAAAAGTGCAAGGTTTACTGAGAACTATCTTCATCAGCTGAGTTCAGACCCTGACATCTCCTTACGGGCCTTGGGGGGGTCTTCATCTTTAACAGCAGCCTGGCACACAGAAACTTAGCAGTGAATCTTTCCCCACTCCTTATCAACATGCCAAGGAAAGCTTCACAGCGTAACCTCTGTCTGGTTGCTTCCACGCTAGCAGTTTAGCCTGGAATTTACACCTTTCATTCACTCACTTTTTATGGAGAATCCAGATGATGTTGTTGCCAACCTGTTGCACTCCAGTGATTTCTGTGTTGTCCACCCATCTTTTTTCAGACCTGATTTGTGGCAATTTTAAAAATTAAAACACAAGTGGAGCATCAGGCTGATCAGACTGACAGCGTACTATTGAGGGGTTTCCCCCCTGTAACTACTATGCCTTTAATTAGTAGCTTCTTCCTTGCAGCTTCTGCTCCGTTATTGCTTCTATGCAGCATTATCTGCAGCATTATCAATCAACAGCCTCTTAGTTACATCATAATTATTCAGGCATCCGCTATGAGAAGATGGCTTTAAATACAGATTTCGTCTCATTATTTCTCATTCCCTTCTTTTATAGCTCTATTTTGCAGTAAGAAATCAAAATAAAATGTCTGGAGATCAATTAATCCCACAGGGACAAGAAAATCACAAATTAAGTGCCTGTTCAGTAATGACACTGGCATTATGCTAAACCAGATACATTAGGGTTAGAAGCTGCACCACGGAAACTTTCAAATAAAGTTGCAGGGATCTTTCCTGAAAAAGGAATAATTATTTGTAGAAAGTATAGAAAGATTTGTAAGTTGCAATTCTGGGAGAATGACGGGATATAAATAAAGCAAATACTTAAATAATGATATTGATCATGGGGGACAAACATTATTTGATGCAATAATGAACCGGCATGTAGGTTCTGATTGTAGAAAAGCAACACTTCCGCACTAGCAAGGATCTACAGAGTGGAAGCAACCTGTGTCAGGCTGCTGGGCTTATTCACCAGTGTCATATAGTAAGTCACGATTACCTTCCCACATTCACCGTAACTATGTTTCTATAAGGGCCAGAAAAGAAAAAGACATTAATTATCTCTCACCTGTGGAACCAGCCACAATTGCTTTCAGTTTTCTTTTGTGTCTGCAAAACAAATTAACAGAAGTAAGCAACTGGAAAAACGGAACTCCGGAATTGTTTTGTAAAGTGTACTTATAAGTGAAGTGAGGATTATGTGTTTTTTTCTGGAAAAAAATTCATCTCATGCATTTGTTTTGTTCTGTCTCCAAATGGCTGAGAACTACAGATGGGGGTATTCATATATGAATATGAGTATCTCCGCACAGGTGGCGTTAACAAGGCTCCAGCCCCATGGGGCCGGACAATCCACTCACCAATCTGCCGCGGATGGCACGATTCTATGAATGGCTCTACAGCGCATGATCCACTCACCACTCTTCAACCTTGCAGCGAGGCTTGTCCTCCTGCCGCAGGCCAGGAGTGGCGAATGGATTGCACGCTGTGGTCCCATTCGTAGAATCGTGACATCCATGGTGGATTGATAAGTGGACTGTCTGGCCCCATGGGGCTGGACCCTCGTTAACGCCACCTATGTGGGAATATTCATATTCATATACGAATATCCCCATCTCTACTGAGAACCTTTCCTGCTGAGACTGTGTTTCCCCCCCCTTTATAAGCAGAACAGTATTCTTACATCAAGGGACATGGTGGCGCTGCGGGCTAAACCACAGAAGCCTGTGCTGCAGGGTCAGAAGACCAAGCAGTCGTAAGATCAAATCCACGCAACGGAGTGAGCGCCCGTTGCTTGTCCCAGCTCCTGCCAACCTAGTGGTTCAAAAGCATGCAAATGCAAGTAGATAAATAGGGACCACCTCAGTGGGAAGGTAACAGCGTCCCGTGTCTAAGTCGCACTGGCCATGTGACCACAGAAGATTGTCTTCGGACAAACGCTGGCTCTATGGCTTGGAAACGGGGATGAGCACCGCCCCCTAGCGTCGAACACGACTGGACAAAAATTGTCAAGGGGAACCTTTACCTTATTCTTACATCTCACTGATGTGACTTGTAGGGATATGGTATTCCGATTTTGTGGACAGCAACACAATTCTCCATTCTGGTAGTTCCACTTTATAGACCCCACACATACAGAAACCTAAATGAGACTCAGCTGGAGAAAGTCCTGGCTGGATGGCTCCATGGCCTAGCTTCGTGGTTATGAAGCCTTTCTGTTAGAAAAGGAACCTGCCCTGGTGCTTGCTTGGGGCACCACATATAGATGTCTGTAGATGTGGGTCTGTCAGATGGAACTGTCAGACCCTGAATGTTCCATTGTTGTAGTGGAAGCCCCCAAACTCTGAATGATGCAACCCTAAATGTCTCTAAACCAAATGCTGTAGAAAGGCTATGATTCTATCGAAGGTTACACTAGTAGGGACCTCAAGTTAACAGTTTCTGGAATCAATCTATAGAATATTCATGCATCAGGAAAAGATTTCCTCCCATTGCATCAGCAAGGAGCTTGCTACATCTTTCCCAATGCAACTCCACTTACACATTCAGCAGCTTGTAGTGCAGGCTCCATTCTAAACCCCCACCCCCACAATTCAAGTCCAACCTCATCATGAGTCATGATAAAGACCTGATTTTTTGCAGCAGAATGGGGTGCACATTTAAACATACGAGTACATCACCTTAAATCACTGACAAGGAGATGTGCGATTTGCCTCAGATTGTGGAAGGGGAAACTCAGTGTTTGCATCTCCCCCAATTACTCTCCCACAGTGAACTATTCTCATTGAGGATCAGTGGGAGAGATATATGGTTGCCTCGGTGAATCTCTGAATCAGGGCTTCCACATTTACAAGATTTTGAAGTCTGAAGGGTATCATTGCACCAGCACAGAAAGCTACTCACGCTGTTCTGTAGTACCAATTCATGAGGATAAACAACATGGCTGCCAGGAAGAGGAGAATAGCCAGAATGATTATTGCCATCTAGAAATAACAAGAAACAAAAGAAAAAAACAAAAGCAAAAACAAAACACAAAACAAACTATTACAGTAGGGATGGAATTTCTAGAAAATTGCTTGGCCACCAATGTACAGTGGGGTCTTGACTTGAGAACTTAATCTGTATTGGAAGGCGGTTCTCAAGTCAAAAAGTCTGTAGGTCAAGTCTCCATTGACCTACAGTGCATTGAAAACCGATTAATCCCGTAACAGGCCGTTTGTGTTCCATTTTGGGTTTTTTTCTGGTCTGTAAGTCAATTCTCAGGCTGCAAGTCTAACCTAAATTTTGCGGCCAGAGAAGTCTGTAACTCAAAAAGTCTGTAAGTCAAGCTGTCTGTAAGTCAAGGTTCCACTGTAGTATGAACAATTGCCATAACTGTGGGATATCAATATCTCAATAGCTATCTCTGAGCTGTACTCATCCTAAGAGCACTGTTAGAGAACATAAACACATACTGAATGATGATTTCATCATTTAGTGATCAGCACAATTCATCTATAATGATACTTCATTTCACATGTCTCTCCACCCTTTGACACCCACCAACTAGGACACAGCAGATTCCTGCAATAAATCTTATTTTTGTTACAGTATTAGAAAGTGTATGTATATTACTTTTGCAGAAGAGTCAATATAAAGGTGTCGATTTGTTTCCTAGTAAGATCCCTTATATATTTAACTGCTGTATGACAGGTAGAAAGTCAACAGGCAGAACAGTATAATCTTCAACTCCTGTATACTGATTAGAGAAATATGAACTTTTGTTTGGGAAGCCTTTAAACTCTGGCTGTGAAATTTGGATAGGGAAAAAAGCTAATGGAAAAACATCAGTCCATCTGAAATATACTGTTGGAAAAGATTTCTATAGATACAATGGGCTGCTAAAATAAGTGATTCTACATGAAAACAAACTTAAACTTTGTCAGAAAATGACTAAGCTGAAGCTACAATGCTGCTGTTATTATTACATGATGTCAAGGTGCCTCTAACTCATAGTGACGCTATGAATGAGCAACCTACAAAATGTCCTGTCCTCAACAGCCCTTCTCAGGTCTAGTTAATAGAGACGGGGGTATTCATATACGAATATCCCCGCACAGGTGGCGTTAACGAGGATCCAGCCCCATGGGGCCAGATGGTCCACTCACTGATCCAACGTGGACGGCACAATTCTACAGATGACTCCGCAGCGCGTGATCCACTCGCCACTCCTGGGAGGAGGCAGGAGGACAAGCCTTGCTACAAGGTTGAATAGTGGTGAGCGGAACAAGTGCTGCGGAGTCATTCATAGAATCTCACCATCTGCATCTGCAGTGGATTGGTGAGTGGACCATCTGGCCTCATGGGGCTGGACCTGCATTAATGCCACCTGTGCGGGGATATTCGTATACGAATACCCCCATCTCTACTTGTTAACTCAAGGTTGTAGCTTCCTTTAGGGAATGAATCCACCTCATATTTGGTTTATTTTCCTGCTGCCTTCAACATTTACCAGCATTATTGTCTTTGCCAGAGAATCTTGTCTTCTCATTATGTGTCCAAAGTAGAACAGCCTCAGTTTTGTCATTTTTTCCTAAGGAGACAGCTCAGACTTGATTTTTATTAGGACCCACTCATTTGTCTTTCTGGCAGTCCAGAGTATCTGCAAAGTTCTCCTCCACCACCATATTTCACATAAACCGATTTTCCCCCTGTCATCTTTCTTTACTGTCCAGCTTGAAACAATTCTATCCATCACCCCGGTCATTCCCAGTCCTTTCAAAGCAGCTTTCACTTCACTTTCTAGAACTGAAGGTTCTTCATCATAGGATTCTTCTTTAAAGAAGTTTGTCATTCTTTAATCTCTTCTGTATAAGTTTCCAGTATATTGTTTTTACCTTCCTTTTCTTTTCTCCTGGTCACACAGGGTGCTTCCCTTTTGTTCTTTCAGTGTTCCTTGTATGCCTCTGGATCTTCTTGAAGGGGATTCTTGTATTCCCTCTTGTTGTTCTCTTCTATTTTAATAGTTATTGTAATAATTCTTGTAATAGTTCTCTTTGTCTCTACATGACGGTCACTGAAAAGATTCATTCAGGTTTCAGGATTACTTTTCTTTGCCACCTGTCCTTTACCATTTTAAGTGTTTCTTCCATCATTCATCTAAAGTTTTCTCTTCTTTTTACTACAGGAACTGTGTTTTTTATATTCTCCTCTAGTAGTATATCTGGTTTCAATTCAGTTCTTCTGGTTCATGATCAATTGAATTTAGTAATACAAATCTGTTACTAAGGCACACTTTAAATCCATCAGGAATGCTGTTTAAATTACACTTAAATTAAATTAAATTAAATTATATATTTTATTTATATTTTGCCACTAGGACTCTTTTGCTCTTCTTTTTCAGCTGAGCTCTGATGCTGAATATTAACAGTTCATGACCAGTACCACAATCTGTTCCAGACCTTGTTTTGGCAGGGAGAATACAGCTTTTCCATCTCCTGCTTCCAATTACATAGCCTATTTGATTTCTATATTGACATCTGGTGATGTCCATGTACATAACCATCTGTTTGGTTACTTGAAGCATGCATTTACAATAAACAGATTGTCGCCTTCGCATAACTCTGTAAGTTTTGTATTCCAGTCCTCTACGTTTATAAGCATGTCTTGTTTTGATACGTGATCAATTTCCTCTTGGATGCTCGCATAAAAGCTTTCAATTTCATCTTCTTCAGCATCAGTAGTTAGAGCACAGACTTGAAAAGATGGTTATGTTAATAGGTTTCCCACAGAATCCAGTTATTATTTTTCAGTCTTACTATACATTATGGGTCCTAACTGCTTGCACTACATCTGGCCTCATTCCTTAGAAATATTACAAGAGGACAATGTTCACTGGAAAAGACAGTAATGATAGAATGCTTTGGATCAACTCAATAAAAAAACACAGCTATTTTTCGGCAAATCCTGAGGAAGGCTGTTAATAATACGACCCTTTGGGTAGTTACTAATTGATAGGGCTTTCTTATGTTGAGAGCAATTTGATGGCACTTAATAACCGAAGCATGTTTCTCTGAATGCTGCTGAATTCAAAACATCATTGCAGGACACCTCTTCAAGCATGTAAGAGCTTGAAGTCAATTATGCTTAAGAGAGGAAAGGACCCCTCCTTCCCTCTTACCTGCAGTGCTGACAGGTCATCTGGAGCCCTCGTAGTGATGGCAGGTTGCACATCCAGGACATTGTAGTTCCTGAAGAGATTCCGCAGCTGCTCTTTATTCTCATCAATCATCTGGATTACTCTAAGGAAAGTGTGGGGAAAAAAAGATCGATTTGCTTTTTCAAGGCTAAAAATACACGCTTCTGAAAACTGCTTATGACCACAATGATCAATCCTAGAAGCAAAATCTCATTCCATTAAACTGCTTCAGGAGATTTACAGCATTAATCATCCAAATTATGTTTGCTACATTTTTCAACAATGCTCAAAAGTGGGGCATATCGGCATAGCTACATTCACAAAAACAGAAAATGTCTACTATGGGATAGCAATCCCAAAGTACTTTGATGGCGAACTGGTAATTGGATAACATACTTGTTTCCTCTCATGACCACAAGAGTGTTTGCTACAAAGTAAAAAGACTTCAACACCTGTCTAACTATAATAAACTTCATAAAGCTTCATTCGTTTGTTTGTTTAGATTTCTATCTTGCCCATCTAGTGGCAAGCCACTATTCTGGGCAACTTACAACAGAGAATAAAACACAGGGTCAAAAAATAACAATACCCCCCCCCCAAAAAAAACCCTACCTAGACAACAATACATGCAAAAACGTATGATGGCAACAGCAATAGTGTGTAAATTATATAAATTAAGCAATTAAATCAAATAGGGAGAAGATTGAAAACCATTCTGGTTTCTTGGAGCATCATAGAAAAAAAATGACCAATCCCAGTCCAAGCAGACTGAATTAGCTCAAAAAACTTCACAAGTTTAGCTTCCAAGTTATAAATAAAAAAATTAAAGATCGAGCATTTCAAAGAAAAATGTCCTGTTGTCTTCAGGAGTACAAACTGCATACTGTACTAGCTACATTGCATTCGGTGATATACTGTATATTCAAGGTTCTCAGAAGCCTGTTCGAAGAACGATGTTTTGATTTGCCTTCTAAACATTAGTGGTTGTCGTGGTGATTGTGGGGCTGATAATGAATTCCATAAACAGGCAGCCACCACAGAGAAGACTCAGTTCGTAATTGAAGACTTCCAGGACTCCCTTGGGATGGCCACCCACAAATACTAGTGCCAGGTGCCACGTTACCTCAGTGTCACTGAAGCTAAACAAATGCTACCTAACACCTTGGGCTAAATGTCTATCTCTGTATAATAAAGGAGAATTTGTCCAATTACGGACTTCAAAAACAAAAAAGACTGGTACATCCACTGAAGTTATCTAGCAAGGAGAAATGATAGACCCATGACGTAAAAAAGGATATCAGTATTTTTATTGAGCCCTACAGTATCTCCTTCACACATTTTCCCAATGGGCTAATTAGCCAGGGAGCTCTAACACACCGGTTCGTCCTTCTGCACAGTTGTGTAAAATTTTATTTATAAAACTGTTCTTCTCCTGCTGCTATGGCACCATTTATCCGAAAAGGAGTGGAAAACTCTCCCTTAAAAAAAATCCTCAAAAACATATTCAATGCAAGTGCAATATCAGTGGTATGTACCATGACTTCTTGCGTTCACTTGGTTCTATTCTTCCTGTGAATTACTTTAAATACCTATTATAAGTTGTTACAATTACATTATTGTCTTAATGGCTGTATAAAATGTTTTAAATTTTAAAATAATGTGTATAGGTTGTCCCTTGTAAATAAGAAGCTAACATATATGCTTTTCCTGTTTTATCTATTACATAATAGCCCCTGAAGAAGGCTGAAAATATATTAGCCGAAACCCATTGGGCTCTTATCTTTGAATAAAAATACTGATACCCTTTTTTACATCCTGGGACTATCGTCTCTCCTTTCTAGACAATTATGAACTTCAAACATATGCAAAGATGGTTGTTGTGGATTTTTCGGGCTCTTTGGCCGTATTCTGAAAGTTGAACAACCTTTAGAACACAGCCAAAGAGCCCGAAAACCCACAACAACCATTAGATCCCGGCCGTGAAAGCCTTTGCCAATATACGCAAAGATGGTTAGGCAGGATGTCTGTTCAATGTGAAATACTGCTGAACACCAATTTATCTCTCTTCAGAGCTAGTAGTAAAACAGACTATGTCTTCATCATTGCATCTGTTTAGAGGCTCTTCCTAATGGCTGAGGCTCGGGAGTGGAGGGGAGCCATCTTAGCAATGATAACTCTGCAGAGAAAGAGATGTTATGATGCAGCAAAAGTGTAAACCAAGAAGTACTCAGTTCAAATCTCACCTCACATATGAATTCTTTTGTGTATTTCTTTCTATGATCAAATTCCAAACATATATATAATTACATCATCTTTACCGTTCTACATCCAGAATCCGATTAGTTTCCCGGTTCACCACATGAATCAGCAATTCTGTTTGGGCAAAGTTCACACGGCCCTTTTTGTCAACATGGAACTATAGGGAAGAAAAAAAAGAAACAAGATGTTCTTCTGTTTCCCCAACTACATAATATTAGCAGGCATTATTCTGTGTGACAGCACCTTTAAGGCATTCTCACCAGAAAAGGACATGTTGCAGCAAGAACGAGAACCAATTAAAGCCTTATGAGAAAAGGAGTGTATCTTCCAGCCCGCCCCATCACTGACTGTTACCTGCACATCATCTGTATTGACAATGGCCCCTGTGATATTTGACAACAGGCTGATGAACTCTTCCTCAAATTGCCGCACTTTATCTGGGATCTCGTTGATTATAATCTTTACCCGCTGATCATCCCGCAGGATGTAGATTCCTACAACAGCAGTGTCGTTGTGACCAGCCAGGTCGGAGGCCATCACGTCCACCACAAAATAGCCAGGGTTGTATGCAGTGAAGAGGTCAAAGGTTCGAAGGATCCCATCTAGGTTACCTTGGAGAAGAACCAACAAGTAGGGCAGTATTTAAAGCCAACTTGCATATTCAGAATCATCTGATCCTACACCCATGTTGAAACTAACCTCTTCAGACTGGAAGTGGAAGATTGCATGTTTGATCACCTTCCTGTCTAAAAACTGCACTGCAGGTGAAAAATGTAATATATCAGGTGAAAAGATTCTAGGCTAGCCATCTCTCTGATGGATTAGTTTGGAAGAGCATGGTGTTTTAGGGTCCCTTTTAAAAATAAAGGTGAAGCAAATAGGTATGTAACCCCTAAATTTGCATTCTGAAATGCCTACTTTGGGATTTACTATTTTAAAGTAAGCTGCAGTTAGAGTAGGCTTGTGTGAATCAATGGAACTTACAGTGGAGATGACTCACAAAATCCCCATTGATTCAATGGCCCTGCTCTAATGCAATTTACTGTGGTAAGCAACAGGATTTGGGTCAGTGTCTCTTTTATCTTTGTGCTAATCAAGGCCTGTTTCAAGAGGAACAAAACGTAAATAATTTTCATTGCACTGCATCAAAAAGACTTTTTAAAAATGTCATTACAACTACAGTGTGTTGTATTCTCCCATTTCCCTCAGTCAAAGCAAGCAGTCTTTGCTTTATGACAACCCTTTGTCTCTGCTAGCCTCTTGCCACAAACACAGCTGTTACATAACCTCAGAGACCAAAGGAAACTTCTGATGGATGTTGAATTAAATGCTCATGGATCTGTCAGTATAGCACATCTTGCTTCTGGACAAGCAAATCAGCACATCCCTTTATACATGTACCACAAGAACTGGACTGCATGACTAATGCAGACTCTCACACATACTAATATCATTCTTACCAATATAACACATCTTGCTTCTGGACGAGCAAATCAGCATATCACTTTATACATGTACCACAAGGACTGGACTGCATGACTAATACAGTACAGGCTCTCACACATACTAATATCATTCTTACCAATGCTGAAAATGTTGGCCACCTCTTCAGAATCGTTTGAATGTTGCTTGATGTAGCGTATCCCCAAAATGCTGTATAAGACTAGGCTATTGTTCCCCACATCAGCATCCAGTGCAACAAGCTTGATCAGCTCGGAACCCACCTTTGCATCAGTTGCAACCCCTTCCAGCAGGTGGCAGTGGGGAATGAGGAAATGAAAGTGAGGAAGAAAAAAGACAAAGAGGCAGACCGATAAAGGCAGAACTCATTGTTGGCAAAGAGTATCTAGAGATTGCACTGTACATCACAGTAAATATGAGCCACCCAGTGCTCCAGCTTTCATGCAACATGCATGGCTTTATCGTACCAATGCCTAGCACATCACAGAAGAGCAAATAACCCGTGCTTCTGACCAGTCTAAAAAGTCACATACTGTATTGGAAAACTACTCTTTTGCTATCTGGCTCTGCTCTTCTACTCCTCTCTTTTCTCTTTTTGACTAATCATGCTAAACATGACATTGCATAAGGTGTAAATCAAAACTTTAATATTCCTTGTGACTCTAAGCTGAGTATTATAAAGAAAATAGGCATAAAAGCAACAGGACCGAACTATTTAACTCTGGACAATCACACTGAATATATTTTCCAGGATTTTCCTGCTGGATTGTTACAGACAGTAAAGTGAAAGAGGTAACATCTGAGTGTTTTCCAAGGGCCCAGCTATTACAGGTAACTTGTCATTAAAAGAAGCATGTGATTGTTACAGCAGGAGATTTTCTCACTTCACCTACTTCGCAAAGTAAAATTTCTTTTTGCTTTGTAATTAGCCTTTGGGAGTTAAACACGGGCTTTCCTTGGTAGTCCAATTTCTCAGACATGAAAGTCTGCCTAAATTTTGACCTTTGAACTCTAATGTGATTTCAGTTCTAATGATGAGGTATCTGTACCATGAAGATTTCCTTTTAATTCTTAACTCACAATTGAATACCTTACCAAACAGATGATCTTTTTTTAGTCCTCAAATTGTATCCACAGAACACCTACCACATACTTTTTCTCGTGTGATATTAAGTATTCCACGACTTTCCAGAAAACCCCTTTCATCCTAGATCAGCAACATCCAAGCAGAAGAATCCTTACCTGCAGTGTATTCTGACTTGGTGAACCGGGGAGGCTGGTCATTAATGTCTTCTAGAAAGATCCGTACTTCTTGGAGGGTCGGGTCAGTGCTGAGGTCCATGGCTTGGATCCTGGCTGCTCGGCGACCCTGGGGAGGCGTCCAGTTCCTGTTGCTTGAGGCTTTGACAATGACAGAGTAGAAAGTCTCTTTTTCTCGGTCCAAGTCCCGCAAAACCTGCAATTTTCCTTCCCGGCTCAGTTGGAAATTGTTTTCTTTATTGCCAGCTAGAAGAAGAGAATATAAATCAGTTTTACTCTGAATCTTTTTCTTTCTCAAATTGGATTTTTTTTGTGATATTATTTAAAAATAGAAATGGGCACAGAAATTGTTGTTAGATTTCCTCTGATTCATTTTCTTCCAGTGCCTTACAGTTCAATGCCAAAGGATGCTGTTACCAGGTGGAACGAATGAGGCAGGAAGGAAAGATCTGGTTAAGGAGAGTAGGTTTTATTCCAGAAAAGTACAAGCAAGAAGTAACTAATGTGCACCCATCTGGGTCTCTTTTAAATGGTATTTCTAAGGATGTACAGTACCTAGATATATATAACTTGTGTACTGAGCTAGCTCTGAACTTGCATTAATCCCAAAGAATCAGGATTAGAAGCAGCCAGTTATTCCTGTTTCCAGCAAGAGCTGGCTGTAAGGAATGCTGAATGATTGCCCCTTGCAGTCAGGCCATGGGTGGCTCATGGACCAAAGCAGGTGGAGCTTCTCTCTTCAGACATTGTGTGGTGTACTTTGTCTGTTCCAACAATGAGATGCCTGTGATAGTGGTGAATTCTGAGGCTCAGACATTCAGAAGGACTATCCTCAAAGTTACAAATCCCAAGAAAAGTTTTAAAAATTCAGGTAGCAGTGTTGATTCTTATCCATCTCTCTGCGTATATACATGTATGCATGGGCACATGAACATACGTATACACCAAAGGATGGGATTACAAAGCATAACATCCAAATCATTAGGATCAGTAGACACTGGTAGTATATCGCACTGCCAAAGGGCCATGTTGTGGTTAGCATGTTGGATTTTTGCTGAAGGGTCCTGAGATTATATGAGAAAGGAAAAGGAAGTGAGATTACACCTCTCCAAGTACCATCAGATGACCAGCTCAAGATTTTCTAGGATTAGGCATTTTTTCCCCAGCCTAGGAAGAGATGCTTTAATTTTAATTGTGCCTGATCTAGAAGGAAAGGCCAAATGGATTACAATCATTGGAACCCTTTGATAATGCTTCTAATAAACAGATAAATAAAATGACAAATTGAAAGATGTATTCGCGAAGGCTCAATTCACGAATTGAAAGATGTATCTGATGATGATACAAACACAGAACAACTTTTGCAAAATGAGTGGAAAGATGAGAGCAAGAGGTGAAATCTACCTGCAAGGAAGTAATAGACAATAGCATTGGAACCCTCATCAGCGTCAACTGCTCCAGTGACATTCCCCACAATAGTATGGGGGCGGGAGTGTTCTGGCATGGAAAGCACCTGATAAGGAGGACTCCCTTTCTGCAGAAGAAGACAGGAGGAAGAGAAGAAACAGGTGATAACAGGGCCATAAATATACACAAGCGCGATGTCACAAAGCAAAACAATAAATTGCATTCAAGGCTGTCCTCTACCATTGTTATTGGTAAACTATATACTTGCATATAAACTAAAAACAACAACAACAACCCTAATCTGGTCAAAAACAAAACATTTAAAATGACAAATAAAATTAAAATTGCTATGGAGAAGCATGCAAGATTGCTGAATGAAGCAACTTAGGTCCTCTTGTTGCTGGTAGTTTTCTTTCTGAGAGCAATTGTTTAATTTGGTTGTTGTGGGTTTTTCGGGCTCTTTGGCCGTGTTCTGAAGGTTGTTCTTCCTAACATTTCACCAGTCTCTGTAGCCAGCATCTTCAGAGGACAGCACTTTGTGCTATGGTGTAGTTTGTTGATTTTTTTTTTAATTTCCAAGATTTTAGAGGTTTTCCTCACTCAGTCTTATAAAAAGATACATAAGATATAAACCACTGTTCTCCTGACAAACTACTTAATAGTAGTTACACGTGCTTTGAAGGATTCTTTTTAAGGATCCAGGTTTTGTCTGTGGAATCCCTACTTGAAAGATGTTAGGATTCAAGACTTCTGGATAACAAAATCTGGACAGCAGGACAGCCACAGTGCTTAGTTTGATGGGTCAAGGGATATTGAACATTAAGAAGTCTTCATATATCAATACACTAACGCTGAAAACTTTCCTGGTGAAAACTATGCTATGTTTCTCCAGGTTCTCAGATTGTTGTCAATAAAAGGCTACCAATGTAGCAATGATGTGATATGGAACTTTTTTCCGACAATAAAACTGCTTATTGAATCATTGAGGATTCCAAATAAATGTTAGGGTTCTACCAGGTGTCTCCCAAAAATACAACAGAATAACAAGAGTTCCTTTCTTTATCATTCCCAAAGAAACTCTTTGTATCTTGGGACCTCCTATTCCACAGTTCCAATGAAGTCCAGAAGGGGAAGGGATAGACCTGCTTACAGGCGGCCTCATGAAGACAGGTTCGTTGTCATCAATATCATCCAGCGCCACTTGGAGGGGCTGCATGGTCTCATATGGTGGTTGCCCTTGATCACATGCCACAATGATCAACTACAGGAGAAACACAGAGAAAGTTGGTCATACACTTGGTTTGCTGTCAATGGCAAAAGCAGAGGCCAGCATTCTCACACACACACTGCTTCCTCCATAAGAATTACAAAAGGGAGGCAGCAATACAGAGTTACACTGAGTCACAAAGAGGAAATAGTATACAGTACAGGCATTTTCTGGATTTGTAACAGCAAGTTATTCTCACAACAATGAGATACAGTATGTCTGTTTTTAACCCTCCTACACACAGGGATTTAAAAAAAAAATGCACTGTTGGAATAATGGGATATGTTCTAACATCAGTGTGTTTCCATGCATGAGTCTTTGCAAAAGAAGAGAGTAAGAAGAAACCAAAGTCAAGTTTGCTCCATCTGGAAGACTCCTTGGTGATCTTGTTCAGTCCTGCCACTTTCAGTGAGTACCTTTTTTTTTTGGGCAGATCACAGAATCATAGAATAAGGGAGCTGGAAGGAGCCTCTCAGGCCATCGAGTCCAACCCCCTGCATTCTGCTTTCTAACCCACACCTAGTTAGGCTGCTAATCAGCATATCATAGGGCACTTTGTCAGAAGCTTTGCTGAAGTCAAGATATATTATTTCTACAGCATTCTCACCATCTACCAGGGAAGATACCTCATTAAAAGTGATGTAAGATTAGTCTTGTAGGATTTGTTCTGGACAAATTTTTATGTTGGCTTCTAGTTTTTACTGCATTGTTTTCAAGGTGCTTGCAGAGTGACCACTTTATAACTAGAAGCCAACATGGATTTGTCAAGAACAAATTCTGCCAGACTGATCTTATCTCATTTTGTGATCAAGTAACCTCCCTGGTAGATGGTGGGAATGCTACACACGTATTATATCTTCACTTCAATAAGGCCTTCGACAAAGTGCCCCATGATATTCTGACTAGCAAGCTAATTAGGTGTGAGCTGGATAGAACAACTGTCTGGTGGACACACAGTTGGTTACAGAATCATACTCAAAGAGCTGTTATCAATGGCTCCTCCTCAAACTCGGAGGAGGTGACAAGTGGGGTACCACAAGGCTCAATCATGGGCCCAGTGTATTTCAATATTTTTTAATGACTTGGATGAGGGAGTGCAGGGAATCCTTGTTAAATTTGTGGATGACACCAAATTGGGTGGAATAGCTAATAACTGGGAAGACAGGAACAAAATTCGAAAAGATCTTGACAGGCTTGGGCATTGGACTGAAAACAACAGAATGAAATTCAACAGGGAAAAGTGCAATGTTCTACACCTGGGGAAAAAAACACAAATGCACAGTTACAAGATGGGAGATACTTGGCTCATTAATACTACGAGTGAGAAGGATCTTGGAATTGTTGTAGATCACAAGCTGAATGTCAGCGAACAGTGTAAGGTGGCTCAAACAAAACAAACAAACAAACAAACAAAGGTAAATGCATTTTTTAGGTTGCATTAATAGAAGTATAGTTTCCAAACCCTGCGAGGTGCTAGTCCCTCTCTATTCAACACAGGTTAGGCTTCACCTTGAGAACTGTGTCCACTTCTGGACATCACACTTCAAGAAGGATGCTGACAAACTGGAACAAGTTCAGAGGAGGGCAACAAGTATGATCAGGGGACTGGAAACCAAGCCCTATGAGGAAGTACTGAAAGAACTGGGCACGTTTAGTCTTGAGAAAAGAAGACTGAGGGGATACATGATAGCATTTTTCAAATACTTAAAAAGTAGTCATTCAGAGGAAGGGCAGGATCTGTTCTTGATTATCTCAGGGTGTAGGACACGTAACAATGGCTCTAAGCTATGGAAAGCCAGGTTTAGGTTGAATATCAAGAAAAGCTTCCTAACTGCTAGAGCAGTAAGGCAATAGAACCAATTACCCCAGAAGGTGGTGAGGACTCCAACGCTGGAGGTATTTAAGAGAAAATTGGGTGGCCATCTGTTAGATCTGCTTTGATCTGAATTCCTTCACTGAGCAGGGGGTTGGACTTGATGGCCTTATAGGCCCCTTCCAACTCAACTATTCTATGATTCTATAAGCTGCTCCAGAACTTTCCCTGGGACTGATGTAAGGGCTGACTGGGCTGCAGTTCCCGAGTTCCTCATTTTTGAAGATAGGGACAACATTAGCCCTCCTCTGATCATCCAGCACTTCACCCATCCTCCATTATTTCAAGAAAATAATAGACACTGGATCTGAGGGTTCTCCAGCCAGTTCCTTCAATATTCTTGGATGCAAACTGGATCTGAGAGTTCTCCAGCCCAGCCAGTTCCTTCAATACTCTTGGATGCAGTTCATCCAGACCTTGAGATCTGAACTCATTCAAAATAACAAGGCATTTCTTGACTATTCGTTTATCAATCTCAAGCTGCAATTCTGTCCCTTCCACCTGCACATCACATTTATGGGACCAAACTTTCCCACAAGATTCTAATAAAGGTAGCCAAACATGTGTTCTGCCAAAGCAAATGTATCCAACCAGCTGCATACTGAGGTATTTTAGGTGTTTAGTAGGCTATTCTTTTTTTTCCCCAGTCCTATGCAGAAACACCCACCCCATAGCTTCTTACTTGTAAGAGTGTTCATCAAGTGGATATTTTGTGGAGTTATCCATGTGGAACACACACAGAGAACACATAAAGTCTCCTAGAAAGCTTTGAATGATTAGAGGGACTGTCCTCCTCATTCGGCCATGGTAAAGGGTAGGGGCCAGGATCTTCCTGCCCAGTTTCTTTCACTGACTTTCCCATAGAGCATTACTAAGAGAGACCCCCTCTGGACCTCTGAATGGCCATGGGAAAGGCAATTCTGAAAGTGAAGTAGACTTTTTAGAATGACTGTGATGGGAATGAGGAAGCATAAGAGGTACTTAAGGAAAACAGTGACTGTAGCATGAACAGTGCGGTCGTCTTGATGTCAGATAATTCCTCCTTGTTGAAAACTCAGTCAGAATCATGGAAATCAATGGGAGTTGAGAGAAACAATGATGATACTCTAAGAAGGACTAACAGTGGATTTAGTCCAATTAAAGGAGGATTAACTAAGGGGAGCATAATGAAGAAAACTGATGATCATAGAAATAACAGAGATCAAAGAAGAAAATCAGAAATTGAAGACAGAAGTTTTTTTTTCTGTTTCTGTTCTCTTTACATTCAGAAAAGAACGAAGCAGGAGGGCTGGTTTCATCCTCTTGTACCACGTTTTCAGCACTTTTGCATGTGGCCAATGGGCAGGGGGCAGCACTCCTGTGCTTCCAGACCTCTCTAAAATGCTCCATTTATTCTGTTCTCAAAAATTTTCATTTCTATGTCTGCTCAGAACCCGTGATGAAGACCTAAACATTCATCAGAACTCTGGAACTTTATAAAATTTATAGAATGTCAAGACAGATTTATTGCATACCTAATTCTGTTCTGATGATTCACATTTGTTATTCTAGTTCAGTTATTTCCAACCTTAGGTCCCTAGTACACCCAGGGGATACAAATACAAAGCTCAGCACCACAGGTGCCAAGATGGTCGGTTCCTGACACCCAGAACCAGCCCAGTCCAATCACAGTGCATGTGTCCAATGGTGGCATTGGACATAGTTCCACTGGCACTGCCCCACCTCTCCCCTTAGCTGACTGCTTCAGGGAGACTTGTGTGATGTTGCCACCATTGGGCACACGTGCTGTGAGGAGCATGGAGAGTAGGCTGGTTCTGGGGGGACGGGAATGAACCACCATTGCATCTGTGGTGCTGAGCTTCGTATTCCCCAGGATATGAATACAAAGGTCCCCTTGGACTACAACTCCCATATATCATGCCTAGCACAGCTAGTCATCATAATGTCATTTGGCTGAGGCGGGGCTTTGTTGCGGTGCTGCCAAAAAAAGAAAAAAAATAATGTCATTTGGCTGAGCAAAGATGGTCAAAGCTACCAGCAGATGGCTAATACAGACAATTAGTCATGTGGGCTACTCTTATGGGCTTTCAGGACTTACACTGTATACAGCTTGCTTCTCTCGGTCCAGCCTCATTGCTGTCTGAATAAGCCCACTGTTGGAGTCAATAGTGAAGTATTCCCAGTCTTTATTCCCTGCACCAGTTTTGAGTAAAGTGTATTGCACAGCTCCATTGAGGCCCTCATCCTTGTCTGTGGCATAGACTTCGTACACATTGGATCGCAGAGGGATTTCCTGTTTGTGGACACATACAGCAGCAGAAAAAATGATTAAGGATTCAATTTAGTAGGTGTCTATGGGAAAATCATACAGTGCGTACTAAAATCTCATGTACACACAGAAAGACAGTTCCTCCTCATTAAAAACTCCTTCCTCTGAGTGACCAGCCATATTCATTGACAACTTTTAAAAGGAATAAAAGTACCCATAAATTTATTAACATAGTATTAGATGTACAGGTAGATCATATTCTAATATTCCATTACTTTCAATTAGGGTTTTTTATTCATGCTTGGAAGCTGGCCTAGCTGCTGTGGAACTCAAATAAATGTTGGTCTTTTGAAGATTCTGTGACGTTCTCACAATGGACTTTCCTGAACTACAAACTAAAAAAAAAATTACACTGCCACATAAGCATATGATTCCTACAAGGGAAGTCAATAGCCTGAAGTTATTAAATAAGAATGTATTGGCTTTATCTACAACTAACCAGCCTAGCAGAACTTTAGACGTTAGTTCCAACTGAACAGTACAAGTTGCTTTTTTCATTCTAACCTAGACATTTCCCTTATTTGTTTGCACTGCTGCCACCTGACGGACTGATCTGTCATTTCGGTTTGGGTCCTTATGTTTTATATACAGGAGAATCAGAATTTAGTGTAGAGATGGGTGCCTTCAGTGGGCCCAGGGGCTATAGTTGCCCTTCCCAGAACCCTGGAGGACTGCATCCTTTTGACCTCCTACACTTTTAAAAAAACAACAAATTTTGGATTCCCCTTCACAATGGGAAATTATGCCATTTTTTATTTGAAGCTTTTCCCACCAACCCTTTGGGGGTCATAAAAGACACTTTAAAGCCTTACATGTTGTATTTTGCCCCTATACTGTAACAACAGCCATTTTGGATTCAAGCCAGACACTGATTTGACTCAAGTGGGCTGCTGAAATACGAGCTTTGGTACCTTGTTTTGCAGCTCGGTTAGTCAAGCAACAGTAATATAGCTATTCATACAGTTCTGCTTATGAAAGACAATAAGACACACAAATGGAAATCAAAGCAAATTTACAGATACTTTTTTTTTGGTAGAAATCAGCTATACTAAAGTTAAATTATCATCTGTCTAACCACTAGAAATCTGGCCCTTGAGCACAGCACCATATCAGAAGCATGAAAAATTTGTGGTGATTTACCTCTTTAATGTGCAGAATAGTACCGTTGGGGGGCCGGACAAATAACGGTCGGTTATCATTGATGTCAATAACATCCACTTGGAGCATGGTAGTCCCCCAAAGAGGCGGTCTTCCTTTGTCTGTGGCTACCACCGTCAGGTTGAACCTCTCATAAGATTGAAGACGTCTGCGTGTTGTTATAAGCCCCGAGTCTTTGTGAATTTTGAAGGCTTCTAAGAAAAGAAAAGACACATCACATTTGCAACACGGTATGAATGATTTCACTACAAAAGTAATTTATTGCATAATAAAAATGAGTAACAGGCTGGAAGACTGGAGTGAAATGATTGAAAAGGAGAATTTATATGTCATCAAAGTGTACTATGAATTTACTCACATACTGCTACAACTCCAGTTATCCATCATCCCAATACAGTGAATATGGTCAACAAGTAGCAATTGACCATTACATCATACAGTGTATCACAGAAGTGAATACACCAGAGAATTTATATGCCATCAAGGTGTACTATGAATTTATTCACATACTGCTAAAACTCCAGAGTTATCCATCATCCCAGTACAGTGAATCTGGTCAACAAGAAGCTTAGTAGCAATTGACCATTACATAATACAGTGTATCACAGAAGTGAGTACACCCCCTCACATTTCATAAATATTTTACTATATCTTTTCATGTGACAACACTGAAATGACACTTGGCTACAATGTAAAGCAGTGAGTATACAGCTTGTAGAACAGTGTAAATGTGCTGTCCCCTCAAAATAAGGCAACACACAGCCATTAATGTCTAAACCGCTGGCAACAAAAGTGAGTACACCCCTAAGTGACAATGTCCAAATTGGGCACAAAGTGTCAATATTTTGTGCGGTCACCACTATTTTCCAGCACTGCCTTAACCCTCTTGGGCATAGAGTTCACCAGATCTTCACAGGTTGCCACTGGAGTCCTCTTCCACTCCTCCATGATGACATCACAGAGCTGGTGGATGTTAGAGACCTTGCGCACCTCCACCTTCCGTTTCAGGATGCCCCACAGATGCTCAACAGAGTTTAGATCTGGAGACATGCTTGGCCACTCCATCACCTTGACGTTCAGCTTCTTTAGCAAGGCAGTGGTCATTTTGGAGGTGTGTTGGGGTCGTTATCATGTTGGAATACTGC